TTACGTCATTCCTACCCTCATCTACCGCAATCTCATCAAGGACTGGTGGGTCCCTGTTTCTTCATTCTTCTCATGGCTCGCTGCGACTATTTGGGGATGCGTGGTCGGCTTTGAACGGACAACGCGCATTGGCAACTACATGAAGAGTCAAAGCATGCGAAGTTCGGGTGCGGTGGAAACACATTGGATTAGTGAAGATGCCGCTACACTCATGGAGGAGAGGAGCTGGGATGCGAGCATATTTAACGACGAAATCTTGCCTGGTGGGCGGTGAAGCCCTCTTCTCTTTTTTTTTGGAAAGACGCTAGACAAGCAAAAAGTGTTGCTTCTTTTGGCTTTTTCCCTGTTGCATGTTGCTGCATTCGTTGAGCGTGGCGTTTGCTTGATTTTTCTTTTCCTCTTGTTTTTTCTCTCCTCATTTAGCGAGTTTGGGTCTGGAGTTTGGTGCGGAGTTGCATACACTACGACTATATGCTGTATTATTACGCTTTTGGCGTATTGTGGCATTTTGAATAGCAAGAGCGAGATAAAGCGAGCGTACAAGAGATGGGATATTTCAAAGTCTCTTCCTATTGCCCTTTTGGCTATCTACCAATAGATAAATGCAACCGTCGCACATCCTCTTCTTTCAAACCCACGAACAAGGATATCCAGGGCAATGGTGATAGTGCATAGCCACGACCGGTAGTCAGAACTCCATGGGATAAACACTCCCCTCACCACTTCCACTACGACTGGTAACCATCTCTATCTTCTTGCAGGGAAGCCCTCTCTTCTCTCTTTCACATGCGCCGGCACCTCCGGGACCACCAAAAGAGATGCGGAAATGAAGAGGCGCTGCTAGCTCCAAGAGACAGATTGCCAATGGGATGATGAAAAAAAGCCAGAAATGACGCACAAAATCCCTACACCTCCTCTTTTTCTATGCTGCAAATTATATTGCTCTCCAGCTAAAATTCATGCGAACACACCATCGTACTTTCAAACACGAACGCTTACTGGCGAACTACCCATCAGCTCCTGCTACTATCTCTGGCGTCCTTCGTATCCTCGCAAATCTATTCGCTACAACCCCCCCCCTTGCCCCTCTCCCTTGCCCCACCCGCTCTCACCATCACACGACAAGGCGCCTGCAACAACGAAAGATAACCACCCAAAAGCCACAAAATGTAAATTAGTATCTGGAACCTAGCCTCTTACCGCATCAGCGCGCGCGCCTTTTGCCTTACGTACCCCACCTTCCGCTTTCCTCGCGTTTACCTGTCAGCCGTTTCATGCTCAAACATTCCAGGAGGACCCCTGTGTAAGGAGGCCCCCCCTTGGCGACACGGAGGTGAAACAGTAGGATTGGAAGGTGGTGAGATGCGCTGAGGGGGCGGTCGTAATCGTTGAAGAAGGGGGGGTTTTGCGCGCCTTCTTTCTATTATCTTTCTTACTTTGCTTAGTGTTTTGACTGACGTCCAGCGATAACGTATTGGAAGAAGATTGTCACTATATGTTTCTGAGCGCTGGTCGCATGTATCGATACTGGATTTGATAAGGATCACACGACGAGTTTGGGAGTATCACGCTGCTCTTTACCATATCACACTGCTCTCCGCAGTACTACGCTCTGCTTCGCAAATCCACAGCTCTTTCTTTCTTGCCAAACTCCAAATCATTATAGCAAAAATGATCGGCGGAATCATCTCCACAGTCAAACTCTTTTCCTTTCTCTTCACTTACGAGTTCTGGAGCCGGCTCGGATTCTTCGTCGGGTACATCTTCACTTTCCTGTTGGTGCTCGAGGTCACACGCCTGGCAAGCACCGATGCACACAGGAAGCAAGTCGAGAAGGTACTCGACTCCTATGCGGCGTCGCGATCAGAAAGCGAGCCTCGGCGGCCACGCCCAGCTCCTGAGATGAAAAAGGTGTCTCTTGACGAACTTGAAGAAATGGAACGGCAAAGCATGATTGCAGAAAAGGAAAGGCGAGCACGAACACCGAGTCCCGCCGTTACTCGCAAACCAGAACCCGAGCCTGTGCAGATCGACGAAGAGAGAAGACGGAGACGAGCATCCTCCACAGCCGCCCCGCCAAAGACAGCATCAGCGTCAAGGTCTGCCTCGCAATCACGTCCTCAAACGCAAACGTCAAGCCCAGCCCGTCGTCTTAGGAAACGCAGCGACACACTCAACTCGGCCAGCAGTGCCGAGTCCAAAGACGCTGCTGTGAGGAGAAAGCGCCGCGAGGCCTCGCCTGCCGAGTCCAAGACCTCGTCTAGACATGCGAGTCCGACGCCCAAGAGTAGGAGCAAGGAAAGCAGGATCCTAGGAGCATCGTTGGGGAAGATGCTGAGGGGCAAGGTGTGAATGTCAACATCATTGATCCTAGAGAAATCGCAGCGACGATGACGAGTTATGATTATGACTGAAAGTATCGTTACGGTTGCGTAGAGCAACTGTGATTGTTTTGAGAAGAGGGCAGACAAGGGACGGATGACGATATATCACGACAACCTTGTTGGGGAAAAGTATGAACTTTTGCATACCGGCGGTATCCGGACGCGACAAGTACCTGCTGCCTTCGGTTTCAGCGCACACGGCACGCGAGATGACTATCCGTCTCGCCTGACGCATTGTGAGAAGCTATGTACACATGTCAGCAACACACCACATGAATTGGGGTATTCGTCCGCCGAGGCGAGAAACGGCGGGCGTCGAGCGGGACATTGGTTTCGAGCCAGCGATGTTGAAGCGGGCGCGAAGATACTCCGAACGGCTGGATGCAATCCGGCATGCCTTCAATGAGAAGCACAAATCACGATATTTCTCCCTTCAATGGCATTCTATTGCGTGAATATACAGATTCCACCATGCTCTTACCTAACCTTGCACACAATAACGCATCCCAGCTGTCCATCCATCCACCATCCACCGCTATCCCCAAGCCCACGGGGTATATACAGCACAGCACAGTCCACGATGCCTAGCCCAGATGATGCAAGAAGTAACAGGTTTCATTCTATAATAAGCTTTTTCCAACCGCACCGTCAGCTTACCCTTTTTCCCGCCGGCCAACCTTACCCAGCAACCATCACCTATTACTAACACACCGCAATTAAAAGTCACTTGCAAAAAGAATCAGCCACACACCCCCTCCTCCAGAGTTCTAGATCGGGGTTTATTAGAAAGAAAGAAAGAAAAGCGGGAAATATCAGGTACCCAGCGGCTAAAACACACGCATCAAAGGCAAAGACGCAAGGATCTCAAGTTGCAAAGTTGTGGAAATGAAAGAAAGTTTGCTCGATGCTCGGGACAAATGCAACAAGGGTGGCGCGGTTAGGCGAGGTAGATTGATACCAGGGTTGCTGGGGTTTGTTTGTGCCGCCACCGCTTACAAATGATTTACAACGTACTAGGGTAGCGGAGGGTGATCAAGGGGCTGTGCTTTTCTGTGTAGTGTAATACTTTCCAAGCATGCCGTTTTGGAGGATTTTCCTGGGGGTGGAGAGGGTGTGTGTGTAGGATGTGTTGGTTGTACATACAGGCACATGCAGTGCCAATGTAGATGTGGGGATAGTAAGGCGTCTGAGGAGGATCGCGGCGAAAAGTCGCCGATGGAGGGGGGAATGGCTTGGGTGAGACAATGAGGTGGCTAAGGAAAGCTTGGGATTTATGTCGGATTGAATGGATGGAGAGATGGAGATATGTGCAATTGTGCTTGTGCATGGCGATCTGGGTATGGTTTGGATGGAACATGGGAGAAAGGGCAAGAGTCAGCACAACTTGTCCTAGCGACAACGGCCGTTGGTTGGCAGCGGGACGGGAGAGTGTGCGCTTCCAAACTATATTTGATTGGAATCGATGAATAAGTTACACATTTACACAGTATACTCCACGTAGCTTGGGGTTAAACCCAGCCATTTGGTTAAGCCTTTCAGCCTTTGCAATACAAGACAAAAAGTGGTGTGGTCTTGGAAAGTATGCAAGGCCAGCGGTACGGGGCCGTGTAATCCTTGATCCCATCCTCAAGGTACTCTTCGATCCATTGCTAGCATGCTCGATGCACGCATCGTATGGTCAAGAGTCGAGGCTGATCATAAAATACGGTTGGTTTCCCCCCCTTGCACACCTGATTAGGTGATGGTGTCGTCGGCCAAGCTAGTTAGCCCTGGTCTACCCCACACATTGCCGATCGAGAACTGACAACACGTTTCTTACCCCTCCCCTGCAGTTGGGGCTAGTACGTACACAGTACTACCATTCCAGAATCTTTATTTCCTCTGACCCTAGGCTTTTTTTCTCCGGACAAACGGTTGAAGTTGGGTTAGAGTGAAACCAGACCAGCCACTCCATCGGCAGAGGGACTTGAGATCTGGGAGACGATGCTGACGACCGTGAAACGTGTAAAGCAGCAGACAGATAGAAAAGAGAAGTGTAAAAAAAAAGAAGAAGAGAAGAGGGTATGTTGGAGAGACTAAGCCTCCGATCGTGAGGTGTCGTGTTCACAGCCTCAATGGCTGCTCCATATTCAGGCTTTCCTACTCGCGACAATACGCGGACAGGAACTAGATTGCTTGGATCTACGACAAATGAATGGCCTACATCTTCAAGGCGTCATTAATCCGCATGTGTCGTGACTTGGCCAACAGATCTATGATATCACTGGTGCTTACCGGGCCATACCGCACGACATAAGCCTCGTCTTGTAGCGAGCATCACCATACTGCATCTGTTCGGCTTAATTGGTTCGAGCAGGGGTCTTGGAGAGAACTTGCCGGTACCGTCGGTTCCTGGTGGGCTTGGAAGAGGTAACAGCATGACTAGCAAGAGAAGAGGCGGGATGAGCTTGTTTGTGGCTATGTTGCTGGCGGTAATGGTACTTATTGCTTTGTTTCCCCCCCAATTCTCAATTGTAAGGCACTCAAAAAAGTTAACCTGACAGCAGCTCTACTACTGTATTTGCTCTTCTTACTGTCTTATTCCTTTGTTCACTACATCTCAGCATTCAATCAGCTATGCTCAAGCAGCTCTCTGTTGCCGCCGCCCTCGCGGGTGCTGCTCTCGCGCAGAACACTCCCAGTCTTGCTGACGCTTTGAGGTCGTCGTCCGAACTGTCGACTCTCGCGGGTCTCGTTCCTCAAGATGTCCTTCAGACACTCAGCAGTGCCAGCAACATTACTATTCTAGCGCCTGGAAACTCGGCTTTTGAGAAAGTCAGCCCCCAGTTATTGTCATCTCTGACTACCACACCGGGCGCTATTACTGCCCTCCTCCAGTACCACGTCCTCAATGGATCGTACCCATCATCTGCTATCCCAGAACAGGGCGCTTTCGTTCCTACGCTCCTGACCAACAGTTCGTACACCAATGTCACTGGCGGCCAGGTCGTCCACGCTACGACTGAGGACAACAAGGTTGTCTTCTTCACTGGAAGCCTAAGCAACTCGACTGTCACCACAGCTGTACGTCCCCAAATTCACTTACATGCGTCCCTTTACTAACAAACCCAGAACGTCAACTTCACCGGTGGTGTAATCCACATCATCGACACTCTCCTCACCATCCCTGGCTCTGTCTCCGACATCGCCACAGCCGCAGGCCTAACCTCCGTCCGCGGCGCCCTCGTCTCCGCCAACCTGGTTGAAACCGTCAACACCACCCCCGACGTAACCATCTTCGCACCCACCAACCAAGCCTTCCAGAACATCGGCTCTGCCCTCCCCGGCCTCTCCGCCGACGACCTCACTAAGATCCTCACTTACCACGTGATCGCCGGCACAGTCGGCTACTCCACCCGCCTCGCAAACGGCACCTCCCTCGCCACCGTCAACGGCGCCAACGTAACCATCACCATCAACGACAACGGCATCTTCGTCAACAATGCCGAAGTCGTCATCGCCGACGTCCTCGTCGCCAACGGCGTCGTCCACGTCATCGACCAAGTCCTGAACCCCAACAACGCTACTGTTTCCAACGAAGACGACGGTGTCCCCGCATACTCTGGTGCCACTCCTGTCTCTGCGGCTCCATTCACCTCGGGCCAGCCTACCCCCTCTGCACCTATTGGCGGCGGTGCTGGTGCTGGAAACGGTACTCGTCCTACGGGTTCTGGATCGCCTACTAGCTCTACAGGACTTCCTCAGGCTACTACTAATGCTGCCCCTGTGCTTGCAGTGTCGGGTGGATTTGCCGGTCTCCTTGCTGCTGCTGCGTTTTTCTTGTAAGCATTCGAGTAGTAGTATGATATGGATGTAATTATCTTGTGTGTTGTATGTTGTGTGTGCTTTGAGGGGGGGTTGAGTGTATTGATACCATGAGGGTTGAAGCGCTTGTTGGCATGAGAAGGGTTGTATGGGACATGAATGTTATGGTAAATAGTTTCGCATCTTTAGCCATGAAAATAATTAATTAAAATGAGATTTTTTTTTCTGTAACTTGAAACGCTTTGCTGTGACTGGCCGTGCAATTGTGTGATGGTAGCGAGTTGAGGAAATGTCTGGACGTAGCATGCAGTTAGTTAGTTGACTTGTTAACATAATAATCGTTGTATTGACTAAACGGTGAGGGTTTTTTTTTCTGTCGTGGCTAGACAAAGTAATTTCGGCTCGGAATCTTATGCAGTCGTCAAACAAGGAGAAGATTTAGAAAGCTTCTTCAGGACTAAAACTTAACTTCCTACCTGCGAATCAAAAGTTTGAAGAAAGGAAAAAATTTAATTTCAATGCTGAAACAGTCTTTAGAATTCATTCCCGTAAGTCCGGGAGTTACTTTTATCTTAGAGGTGGCGAGAGATTTGCACTCTCAAGCTTGTGAATTCCTTAGCATTATAGTAAAAGAATTTTGGTATCCGGAAGAAACCCCACTTACGCCACCCCCTCCAGTTAACGTGATAGGGCGTTTTCATAATGTTGATGCATTGGTGTTAGAAACTCTATGACGTATTCTTGAAAAGTCATTACACATTCAGACTTGAATTTCTTCAATTGCTGTACCGGTTATCTCCTCGCATCACAATCATCTTTGTCATTGAACCTCGCAAAATCGTAAAACATCATCTCATCTCCTTCATCCCTTCTGCCACACAAGCACGATCAACGTACCCATGAGCCCGTACAACCTGCATCACTTCTCTCTATCCACCAACTCAAAACCCCGCATACACACCTCCTACGGCGCCTCGCTAAACGTAATCTCACACCTATGCGCCTTTGGCGCAATGAGAAAGAAGTTCTAAAATTCCAGCACTGTTAGCCCCATTTTCTCTCCTTTGCATTAAAAAAAGGAAATAATGTTTGAGTAAGAGAAGAAGGAAAAAAGAAACATACCTCAAACTCCATACTCTCAGACGTCGTCCTCTCCCCTAACCTTATTCCCTGACACTCCCTAAAGAAAAACGCACACGCATACCGCAACTCCATGCGCGCAAGGTGAATCCCAATGCACGACCGCGCGCCCGCTCCAAACGGGTGAAACGCAAGTTTAGCAGCGGGAGAAAGTGCTTCCGCCACCCCAGTCTCCTTATCTGGGATCCAGCGGTGGGGATTGAATCTACAACATCATTTGCCATCAGTCCCATCGCTCTCGCAAGAGAAAAAAGCATTAGCGGGAGGGGGGAGGGGAGGGCAGTGAAGGGCCGATAATACAACTTACATCAAAGGCTCACTCCAAATCTTCGGGTCGCGATGAAACGTATACGCCTGCGTATCCACCGTCACCCCCTCGGGTATAAAAAAGCCCGCAAACTTGGTGCCACCTGCGGGAACAACCCGCGGAAGACTACTCGGCGCCGCGCCATACAACCTTAACGTCTCTTCAATCACCGCGTTAAGCAACGGCAGGTTAATAAGATCGTTCTCTGTAAACTCGTCCTTTAAGCCCCCGACTTCCGCTTCTAGGGCGGCTTGGAGTTCGGGCCGCTGCAGCACCGCCCACGTCAGGTACGTCAGCGTCACACCTGTGGTGTCGGTACCCGCGATGATGACGTTCATGGCTTCGATGCGGACGTCCATATCGTCGATGTGGCCTTCGCCTTCCTTTTCGCAGTCTTCGATGACCTTGGCGAAAATGTTGTTTTCGCCCGTGCGGGAACGCGCGGTTTCGACGGCTTTGCCTGCGCCTTGCAGGATGAATTCGTTGGCGTTGAACATTTCCTGAACGGCCGGGATGGGGATGAAGCGGAGGAGGCGGAGTAAGGGCATTTCGACCATGATGCCAGCGCCCATGGTGAGTTTTTTGAGGACGCGCATGAATTGGTTGGTCTAAAGTGTGGTACCATTAGCATCGTTGAGAAAGTGGGAAATGGTAGGTTTTTGGGGGGAGTGTCTTACACGTCCGTCTTCGAGCATGCCGAAGGAGTCGCCAAAGGCGAGATGGGCACTGACGTCCGAGGCGAGTAGCATCCACCAGTTGTACACATCTGCTGTGCTCTTCATGGCATCTGCTTTGATCTTCTGCACGGCGAGGAGCGCCTTCTCCTTGACTACCGGCTCCCAGTACTGTACAAGATAGGACCTGCTGAACGACCTAGACAACAGCTTCCTCCGCGGGCCGTGCTCGCGCGGATCAAGCATGGTGAAGACACCGGCTTTGGGGAAGTTGGCAAGGCGAAGGTACCATTCACTCTTCATGTATTTTGTGCCGATCTTGTGGATCTCTTTGAAAGCATCGAGGTCGGCGACACCCACTTCTGTGGGCGAGAGACGTACGATTGGGCCATACTTCTCGTGTAGTGAGTCGATGTAGAAGATGCGTTGGCCGGTGACGACGGCACGTTTGAGGCGGTAGTGTGTGAAGCGTGTGTACCAGGGGCCTGGTAGGTGTCTTGTCGGGCACGTTAGGCCCACGTAGAGAAACTGCAGGGTGTAAGTTTGGTGCTTGGTAAACGAAGATGGTGCATTGGTATAAGTTTATGTACCTTTGCTACTACAAGGCCAATGGCCAGGAGTACCAAAGACGGTGTGCTTGGAATAGCCATCACAGGTAAAGATTATGATTTTCAAAGGTCGTATCGTCCACGCGATTGACTGATGGACTTTCTCTGGGTGCGCACCACTACATATGCATCACTCTCTCACAAATTTCTTTCCTTTTTTCTTTACTTTAGTCTGGCTCAAACACCTGGGGATCCGGCGAGAAGATGGCCATACTAGCCAAAGTCCCTTGATGCGTTATGCTCAAGTTGCTGCTGTAGAACCGTGGAATTGAAACTGCACAATCCGGCAATGAGAATTACATCATAATGTCTTCGATAGATGAAAAGGGCACATCTATGATTTCGTGGGAATATTGAAAGCGGGGGTGTAGCGTGCTAAAAGGTGTGTGGCGTCTGGCTGTTTAATGGCAGTAGGTAAGGCTGGACCCGCATTCCGGATTGGGTCGTTGCCTTGATCGCAAGATTGCACGCGTACGTTGCAGTATGATCTTCATGATTTCCCCTTGCGCGTTTGCTGATCAAAGAGTAAATTCGAGCTTGCACTGCAACTCGTGTTGTGCCTCGTGCAAAGGGCGGTTGGTGATTAGGATCGACAGATCTGCAAGCATGCTTGTTTCCCGCACATTTGATGTCTGCAGGGCGAAGATGAGGCAAACGACGTAGCAGCCCGTCATGGTTTAGAGAGGAAATGGAGATCTGATGGATCGTCTTCCAGGATGTTGCATCCTCAGTTCTCGTTAGTAGTACACGGCTCCAGTAAATACACGGCTCCGCTCAATCCCCGGACTTGCAGGACCAACTCCCTCCGGCTCCACGCATTGCCGGCCTGCACGTGCTCTTCTTTCACGTTCTAGTCGCGTAAAAAAGCAAAGAAGACTACAAGCTATGCTACAATGGCGCTAAGTTGATGTTTTAGTACGCGAATAGCGGTGTTCTTCTGGTGATGTGGTTGTGCTGGGGCCGACTTTGGTTCTGTTGTACGCTAACTATTGGACGGAACACTCTCAGCGTCCTCGTCATTGGTACTCAGCGGCAGCATTAGCTGAGCCGTCCCAGACACTATACAGTGCTCTACTGGGGTCTTGATATTGTTTGGCTGGCAATTGAACCCATGCTCAATAACACAGGACTTAAGCAATTGGTGTTACGTACTGCCCATATCTATGCACAGAGCCCTCGAATACTTGATCCGCTGTCTTCCACGTTTCGTCCTAATTCGACAGTAAGGCTTGAGCATACAGAAAGGAAGTATATTCACATTAGCTCCGTACGAAATTTTCCGGGTGTAGTTGATCCAGAAACTTTGCTAATAGAAGCTAATCTTGTTGTGACCACATCACGTGATTATATCGATACCGAGCTTCCTGCCATGCCGAGTTCGTCTGTGCCCTGCCAACACATAAAATCCCAGCTTTTGAACAAAATCCGTGTTGCTGGGTTACCAAAAGGGGTTCATGTGGGTGACGAACTGTCCAGGTACCCTTCCTTCCAAAATGCCGCGATAAGATGCGCAAGCTCTGGTGCCCGTTTTGGTGCTCAGCGCAATTTCGGAACATTCGGGGACCAAGAAACCTCAAAGTTTGGTTTTGAAGGGTTTCGGCGTCGAAGGCTTGTACGCTAAAATTTACGGCATATTAGTGTTGTATTCGATGCTTGCCACATAGCGTAGTTCTATCCCTTTATTCCGAAGAACCTTGGTTACGACGCGGCTTCGCATACGACCTGATATCCCAACCATATATGTCGATGCTCCAGACAATCGGTACCTTTGTTTTCATCTATGGGATTGAAAGGTTAGCTCACGAACTATCTCACCTACAGACTCTGTGAAAGTGGATGAAGTGAAACAACCGGGCGGGTACTGGGCCGCTGTCAAAGAGCAAGCACATGCAGCACATAGCACGTCTCCACCTGATGACGAATCTGTATTGGTGCTATGTTAGTATTGAGTGCGGCACAAACTGGCATAGTTTTCTGGAAATGGCAAATGACCATCCGTGAGCAATAAGTGTGCACAGCACGGTGCAAAACGAGTGGGTGCCGGCTCTCGTGTTGCACAGGCATTTACCACGTGTTGCCTGCATATATGGGAATTAAGCCACACCTTAAATGGCATTAATCTTCCAATCCAAAGCCATCGTTGCAGTTGTGCGGTTTGCTAGTAGAACAAGGGCCACCAGATCGCGCATCTTTAGCCCTCTCCACAACATGGCATGCTTGGCACCCTCTTTGGCGTCTTCTCTAGTGTCTTCTAGAGCCCGCGCTTCGATTGGCGAGAAGAACCGAAGACCAGGGACCTGATCGCCGTCCAGGGGTGCAGGTGGATGGCCCTTTCACAGCTCTTCAGCCTCACGTGCTGCCATCGCAAGCATGTTCGCGAGATCCACCACATCACCCTCCACTCAAACACGGAGGATACCTATCGGTCAGATGCTGCTTTTTCAGGACGGTACCTGATTGTCCGCTCCGCAAACTTAACACTGCGACAGAAACACGGCACGCGGTCCTCAGTCATGCTTATTGCCAGTAATGCACAGCCAACGTTTCGCTCAACCATATCAGCGCACTTACTGAAGCTAACACCGTTAGCCATCCCAACTCGTGGCAAGTTCCCCTGGTCTAGGAGACGGCCCAGCTGAGGCTGTTAAAGCCATGACTCGTCTGTGGCGCCTACGCATTCTGCTGATTGCAGCGCCCATCTTGCCCGGTGTAAGCTCGTCGTCTCGGGGCGTCCCTTGGTACAGAACAGCTCGTGACTCTGTGATGGCATCATGCCTGTGAGGCAACGGCCGTGCTGACCCGTTTTTTTTTGAATATGTTGCGCGTAGATATATGAGTGTTAGCAAGGTAGGCCCCGTGCTGACATGTTTCATGCAACCAAACATACTTATTTCGCCGAGAAAGTCTTGCGCCTCTGTTTCGTCTATCCTTATCTTCCCCCCCAATGTACAAAACTAGCGCTTGTACTCGGGATTTGTGATGATATTTTCGCCACTCTCGCCTTGCGATCTCAGTACCAGCCAAAGATAACATTATCATGTTCCGCTTGTCGAAATCCCGAAAAGAAAAGGCAGAGAAGGACTTTGTTGATTTGTAAGTCGGAATAGATAGTGCCGAGTTTGAACGCTTCAGTGCAGACGATGGTTTCATGTAGAAGACGAGCAGACGCTTTCAAGGGGATGCCAACAGTCTCGTCCGTACTCGACCACTGTGCTCGCAGCCGCTACGTTTTTTTTTAAATCTCAAACATGTCCACTAACTTCTATACAGATGTGAACCATCCCGGCCCCGAATAATCAATGGCCTCAAGAAACGAGCTTCGAGCACTCTACGCTCGGTAGCGATTCCACAGGTAGTTGTGCGGACACCTAGGCACTCAGTCCTCAAATCCGCTGGACCACACTTTTCAGACGAAGCCCCATATAGTGACCGCCGCCTTACTTTCTCTGGCCATGCGTCGCGGCAATTCGGACACTTCCAAGTTGACTCGGACGATGGGTATCAAATGCCGGGGTATTTCCACAAGAGCCTACCTAGAGAAGTCTATGATTGTATTGTTGCACAGTTAGGTCCGATTCACATGGACCAGGAAGGAGCATGCGCAACATGTTATCTAAAAGATCTTCACAGCCTCTCCCTTACTAGTCGGGCGTGGGGAAAAGCTGCAAACGCAGCTATGTACCGGAAGGCACTGGTGCTGGCCAATGAAGAGCATGGAGCGCATCCGAGGCTGAAGATAAAGGGGACCAGTCGACTAAAGTTACTTCGAAGGACTCTTCGCGAGAGCCCCATCCTTGCTAAGCAGGTAAAGGAGTTGCATCTCCCGGCTTTCCAGAACCTATACCAAAATGCCACCATTGAACAAGAGGAGATTTTGAATCTGGTGGCGTCGTTGGTCATGGCCTGCCCACGTCTGGAACGCCTCGTTGGCTTCCATGTTCCATTTACAAATGCTTTCGACCGGCTATCGTATGCACTATCGACCCGATCGAACCTCAAGGAGCGGACGTGGATACTAGGCAATGCTGAGAACGAACTCAACGAGGAAGACGAAGACGAAATGAGGGGTCACTACATTGTCGAATGTGACCCCACCGAACATTTCCTCAACTTGAATTCCAATCACCCCGAGCTGTCTACTCTGGTCCTGCATCAGGGACCAAACAACTCCTCGTCGCCCCTCAACTTCCGAGCCATCGTCGGCACACTTCGAAGCTTCCCACAGCTGCGTCATCTATCGATACGCGGGCTACCTGCGACTTCATTTACAAATATGGTATTGAACGCCTTACCAACAAACCTGCGAAGTCTTCGTCTCGAGGCGCTTCCTGGCATCACAGAGAAGGGCATCCAGCGCTTCGTGACATCGCCGCAAGCGACCTCAATTCAGAAACTGACGCTGGTTAGCATGAACATCAGCGTTCATACACTAGCAGATATCCTGTCGCCTTCTCTAGCTGGCCTAGAGGAATTCTCTCTAGTTCAAAACAAGGCACCTGTACTGCGAGAACACGATACAAGACCCGTGTTCAAGTCGCTATCGCTTCGCTACCTCCACTGGGAGTTTCGGTCTGAGGCTAGTTCTCTCTCAGCCTCCACTTTTGAATCACCCGAGTCATCAACATCTCTATCAACAAATTTCGAGCCAAGTTGCTGCATTGCCACCTTCATCCTTGCAGCCGGTATCATGAACAACGAATTCCCGTCCCTCTGCCACGTCCGCATTCCTCATGATCCCCAAGGCACTATCCAGTCACTCTGCAAACCGCTCACCACAACACTTCTACCAGCGGATATTTCCCAGCTTGCTCTAGCACCTCGTACCGCTAGCTCAGACAGTCTTGCATTAGGCGAATCATTCCCTACTTCGGTCCGGGAAGACGAAATGTTCAACTGTGCTGTGGGGTCAGAGACACGCGTCGACTCTGTCGTAAGCCTACCCAGGTATGGGCTCCCCGCCACGAACGCCGCAATCGGCACCGTTCTTACGCCCATGCGATCACGCATCGCAGCGCAAGCGCGCATTTTGGCTGCAAAGAAGGAAGCTGGCATGATGGTCCGCGTGATTGATCCAGAGGACGAGATCATTGTGGAGAAGGTATTTGGATCATATATCGGCGACCTAAGGAGTAAAATCAACTATGAACTGCAGCCCGATCGACGCGCTTCCGGGCGCACAGCATGGGTGACAGAGATGGAAGATTTGATGGGCTGCAGGGTCAACCATGACGGGCATGGGATTGAGTGCACTTGGGACCTCTGTGGACACACCAACAGTACAAGTGTGGATGGAAAAGTTGTAATGGTTGATGATCTTTTTTAGACGCCTTTGTTGGGCTGAGGCTCACATGCAAAATTTGCGATTGTGCAGTCTATACGGCATGAAGGCTGCGTTCATTGCTGAGTATTTCCTTTGTACTTATGATACCCTTGACTTCGTCATAGCTAAACAAATACAACACTTCGATACCTGAAGAATATTCCTGTTCATGATACAGTCGTCCATGTCTCCTTTCTCAAAAAGACACTCTGTGTCAGTCTCAATTGTAGGCCCTACCTCAACCCAACTTGATTAGCCTAGCATATGTAATCGTGGTATCCGAGAGCATAAGCCGTGTGTAGCCTGCATTTGAGCCGACTGGTGTTAGCAGCAAGCGAGCGTCATGCATAACCTGTCTTGATTGTCATAGTCGTATAGGTGGAAGGTGTGTGAGCGGCGAGGAAAAGAACAGTGTGCTGATGCCCGGGCAGTGGTGGTACCAAGGGTGGGCCCTTAGATAAACAAAACGCCATTAGAATGCAATACTAAGCCACGTATTCATGAATACGCGTCCAACGACATGTCGAAAGATTGTGACAGCTCGTCGGTGAAGAAGTGAGGCTAAATCGAGTGGTGGAAGGACCAATGATGATTATGGATCTGCGAGGGGCTTGGTCTACGTATGTACGTGACGAAACACGCACACGCACAACCCCCGTGTAGGACGGGGATCCGCAGTCCGCTGCACGACATTCCAGCTCGTCTCAGGCTCCCCACAGTGGAGCAGAGCTAAAGCACGACGCACAATCCATGGCTGTGGGACATGTATGCGAGTCACAGAAGGATTGCTAACTATTTCAGCCTCGCGCATAAGCATAAGCATGATCCAGCCTGGCTGCGCAACCTGAGGCCCGACTAAACCAATCGGCCTTTACATCCGACATATCTTATTCGATACAAGTGGGGTGACGAGTTGCATCGCGAGGAGAACACACGCCTTTCATGCAGAGTGACACGTAGATAAGAGAGCAAAGTTGGAGTTTGTCATCGACCCTTTACTGACTATCGGTATTTGAAACGTCGCTTGGTAATTGGTGGTTTACTCCTGTGGCCCTTTTTCCTTGGGAGTTCTATTGCGTGGCTGGAACGGAAGCAATCAAGGTAGGCCTGTTAAAGGAGACGCATGTAACACGGACATGCTGTCCGCTTGACCAGAGAGGATTCATTTATGAAGCCGATTCGTGGCACCTTCCCAATTACAAAGTAGCGAGAATTTCGTTGCTTCCTCCTCCGACCTGGAAAAGTCTACCTATTCTGCCTGTGCCCGACCAAGAAACCCTTCGCCTTACCTTCCCGCCAAAATATATTATCTCTCCACCTTTGTGCAACCGACCGCATACCAAGCCTTCAGCCCGGAGGACTAGGTAAAAACACTCCACTGGCAGTGCCGCGTCGGAAACGATGCGGGTCGAAAAATACCCCCGAAGCTACCCTGGATCCGGATAGGGTAATGGTATGGTAAGTATCGCACCTCTCTAAACAAGTGGTACGGCATAACTGAGGGCGCTTTATTTAGTCCGAGACTCGCGCGCCGCCCAATCTCAGCCTCAAATACCTCGTGCCTCTCCGCGGACCACTGTCAACTCTTCCCAACCAAGAGCCAGGGCAGGGATACACAGCCAGATCTTATTCCCGGACACGACCGTGTGTCCAGTATACACGTCACTGCAAGCATCCGACAACGAGTGACCCTATAACATCGGATAGCTGCAGAACGGAAATAGTTGGCTGATATGGAATCACAATAGCAAGAGAAGTGGGCCGAATGGATCACGTACAAGACAACACAGGCAGTGGGGACCTCGCCGTGGCTGTCCCCACTCATCTCCTTTACGGCAAATAGAGTCGAGATACCAGAATTGCCGAATAAGGAATTGCGAAAGGATCACCCCAAAAGCCGGAAAAGTGGGAAAATAGAAAAAAGATGAATCCAGACTCGCCCAGTCAATGAAGCTAGCCAAGACCCTGGAGGCAAAGCTACAAGAACAAACAGGAGCCTCACCTGATACAAAGCCCATCGCATACATATTCCTGCTGTGTCCCTCAGTCCTTCACATACGTCTAGAACAACAGCCAAGCCAGTACCGCAAGCCACAGGTACGTCCACGCACAAGGGGTATCCACTTAAAAAGCTGTTCAAGCCACAACATACCCTCCGCCCCGCCACGCCCCCGAAAAAATGGAGCAAAGGAAAGCCAAAGCAAAAAGGCAGAGTCAAAGAAGCCATTACAAACCTACTTATCCATGCATGTTCTATTCGTAGCGCGTGCGTGCTGGGTAGTGTAAGCCAACCGCCTAAAAAAAAGCAAAGGACCATTATTACATATAATGCACATCATATCCCCCATTCCCAACGGAAAAACAACAGGACCAAAACATCATCATCATCAACAACAACAACAAGCATACGATAGCCATCAAAACAACCCACAAACACATCCATCCTCCAAACTCAAACGCACCTATTACGTCACACACGCCCGATCGCCGCAATGCACCGCACCGCACACACAGCACGCAACACTCGCAGCACCCACCGGGACAGTCCATCCGACACACCCACCTTGGCACCATACCAACGCTCCCCACTCCCCTCCCCACTCACACAGCGCAGCGCGCGCGTGCGCGCTAAGTAAAAGAGTGGATACCACACGGCACTTGCCATCGCGAGCACTGGATCGAGAAGTTGAGCGATAGAGAGAAAAAAAAGGACGCACCCAAGTTTGAAGGAGTGGAGTAAACAAAGTTGTGCAAATTGCGCGCGCACGCGCTACAAGAAAGATGAGTCAAATGTGGAGACTACGTAGCAAGTATGTCCGCAGAATTAAAGAGGCGTTGTGGTGTGTGTATGGTGCGGCCGCTTGCCCGCACCCGTCGTGGTTGCTGCTGGATGGCGGCGGGCTTTGCACACGTCCCTCGTCTATTTCCGGTTCTGCTGCTTTTCCCGCCTTCCAGGGGAGCGCCGCGCAGTTGTACAAAATGGGAACGGGGGGAGTGGAGGAAATCGGTTGGTATCCATTTGACCGTTTTTGTTTTTATTGGTTTCTCAAGATCAATCGCAAATCGAGAGAGCGGCAAAAAATTGCGTCGTACTAACACAAGGGAATTGCGCGATGCGCATGACAGTGCGTTTTTTTATGTTGTACTCCCCGATCCGCAAAAAACGTGCGCGCGCCCGCTCACCGATCAGAAGCGACCATCATTCGGCATTTAACAAAGGCAAGCCAAACGCCAACGGTTTTTTTCTCTTAACTACAAAGGTCGTCCAAGAGGGAGGGAGGGAGGGTGATCCCTTTAATTTGCGAGATTTTTTCATTTTTTAGGTTTCACAAAGGATTTTTACTCCTCCACTCCCACCAACAACATACCCTCTCTCTCTCTCTCTGCCTGTCTAACCGGACCAAAAAACTCCATAAGACAATGGGAAAAGCAAAGAGGTTACACCAACAGAAAAACACCCGGATTTCTCCCTTAACGCCTTGGTTACTATGCGACATATAATGGTACCTCCGAAAAAAACCCCTCAATGCGACTTTGCTGTTGGCGGGAGAAACAACAGTCAGCCCAAAGTTCAGTCGAAAGCTTTCTAACCGCTTTCAATACTACTTTCAAATAGTATACACGCACACACATCCTCCGAAGCCTGGCAACGTGGGAGGGGGAGGATGAGGCATGGGGAAAAGATAACCCGGAAATTCTTCCACAGACATGCGAAATCCAGATATGCAATGCACTTCGTTTGAGCCACAAAAAGAAAACTCCGCTAAAATAAAACACACGCCGACTACGATCGAGTTTGGGGAAAACGTTTGCGCAAGCTTTATGAAAACTGTCGGGTGGGAATGTTGCCTTCGAGCTGTGGCATGATTTTGAGTATCTTGGGGTCAACGGTCCAGTTGGCCAACTCGGTAATGGTGCTTTCGAAAAGAGGAGTCATTCGTGAGTATCCAGCCTCAATGTCCCAGTAGTGGCATGCGTCGTCGGCGTGTGGCCATTTGATGCCGATTTGGCTAATGAAGTGGCTAACCGAGAATTCCTGGGGGTGCTGGTATAGCAACTGTCGTACATGAGGCCTGGATGAAGATGTCAGCATGGACATAGGCCAGGGATCAAGAAAAAAGCACAGTCAATTGCATGGTGGGAGAAAGGGCAAGCCAAGTGTTGTGAACTGGGGAATGAAGCATGCCAAATATCGTGGATAAGAGAAAGAGCTTGGGCACAACATACCATGGAACAAGGTCGATCAGCATATCGTACGGTGAATTTTCCTGCTTTCCCATTGTCGGCATCATCCAATCCGGGTTCCCGTTCATGTTCTCGGCACTCGGCCAGATGAGGTACTGGAGACGGGATCAGACATGGTCCTTTGCGAAAATGGCCATCTCAGCACTTACCCGCATCAACTTTGTAAGGAGCCAAGTGGCTGCAAGCCGGACTGGAAGAGAGGCTGTTGGCAGTATTCTGTTGCACGCCCTTGCGCACCATGTCGATACTGGATGCGCATCTTGCAGGTCCATGAAGCCAAGCAACAGAGTATCCACGTCAATCTCACATCGGCCAAATATTTGCACTTCACTCCACCCGTTTGCAAGGAGATCGCGTTTTGTCCTCCGGTAAAATGCGCAGTCGAAACTGAACTTGCTCAGTGCGTTTGTTGAGTCTTCGAGAGTCATCGGGGATGGGTTCAACGCTACCGTGCCATCAACCGGGGTTGCGTCATGCGAAAAGACCAATGACGAATGACTTTGTGCTCGGCTTGGGGGTTTAGGTCAGCGTTTGGTTCACTTGTAGCGCATGTAGCCAATTACCTGTCTTCCCGAGAAGACTCGCCATACGGCGAGGCGCCCATGTGGTGGGGAGCGGTAGCAAAGGCCTCGCTACCAGGCGTTCCAAACGAGTCGCCTTCTGGAAGAGCTGGTGTCGGGCCTGCCAAGGACTCGTGGTTTGATCCTAGGAGCGGCTCATGTGGATCCCCCGGCATGGGTCCTGAAAGCGCCTTCCTGACATCGTCGGCGGAATGATGGGCAAATCCATTCTTCTCAATCTCTGCTGCCCAGCTTGCTGCCAACGCACGATCTGGTGTCATGACAAGCAGGGAAACGATTGACTTCATGTCCTCGAGCTCCTTGGCCAGTCGCCGTACGTGGGCGCGCAGCTGGGTCGTTGTCTTGCCGTCTTCTGCAACATCGTACACGCACGTGAGGTTCTTTGACTGGCAGGTGTTGCATTTTGGTCGGACACCATCACACTAGAAGAAAATGGCCTGTTAGCTGGCCCGCGAGCAGGTCAATTGGGAGTGCAGTTTGGGACGGACCTTTGATTTTCGCTTCCTGCAGCTCTCGCATGCTATGGAGGTGATTTTACCACGGGGAGTCCGCAATGCATATGTGCCGGCAATGGGTGAATGGTGCTGGCCTCGAGCGTTTGCCAGGGCGCCCCCAAGGCCTTGCTTGGGTGCCAGCGGGGCTTTGTGGTTCGCAGCGGCGGACGCTGCCGGGGGCCGAATCACAAGGTTGGTTTGCTGGCTGTCGAGATGAAGTGGAACTTGGCCTTCGTCCCATTCAGACGAGTCCTGGCTAATGAGCTGTTAGCAAATTCACGGCCGTCGAGCAAAAAGTGGTGACATGAGATGCCTCTGTGCTCCTCTGGTGGGCGAGGGCATTCCGCCTGCGCCTGCGCCTGTTGTTGGCTAGGTTTGCGTTGATATGCGCACTATCGAAGGTGCGTTGAACCCCGCGCACACGGTGCCCAGGTCTCGTCTCCCGAAACGAATGCCGATGAAAATCCCGAGACAGGTGGGCATGGACGTGTCATGGTCACGGCGCAGCCAGCAGACAGGTCTATCAAATTACCTTTGCGGTAATTGTAAGCCTTTGAATGGTGTGATTTTTTCTCTCCGTCTCAGGGAGCAGTCAGTCGCCGAGGACAAGCAGACGACACGAGGATGTAAGATGGTGCCGCCGATCCTTGCCGAAACAAAAGAGGATGATCGCTGGAACAGAGCTTCGCGATTTTCATGTCGCCCTTGGCATCTCCGGATCGTGACGGGACTTCGGAGCTGTCTGCTCCGCACTGGTAGACAATGGAGTTTGGAATCCTGGGTCGGGTCTGAAGGCGACTGTGTCGGCGACAATGGCGACCCACGAGGCGGAGTGTGCGGAGAGTCGAGGCAGAGGGTCGTGGTTGCCAGATCAGACCGGAGCAGAGACCGATGAGCTGCACCGTGCCTGCCGCGTACGTACGTATGTATGTATATCCATACACACACACGCAAATACGAACACACTCGCACCGATGGCTGTGTACCAACATACACAGGTCCATCCATCCATATACACAGACACACACGCCGGCTGAGGGAGACGGGTCCTCCGGGGCCATGTTGGACAGAAAAAAAAGGACTGATGATATGTGCACTCACATTTGGATTCCCGCTGCCTGTGCAACAGCGTCTGAGGCACGGCGCATCAAGCGTGGGTTGGAGGCTGTTTGGGGAAGACCTTGGAGGGCGTCTGGCAGACTGCCGCTGCCATACCAGTAATTTATTCCTGTGCAGCATGTCAGCGATGGAGCTTCAGTGGGCTGCTGGCGGGCTGCAGAAACGCAGGCAGGCTGGCTGAAGAGCCGACGTACCCGAAGAAGATGTCGAGGGTTGTGCAGGCATGAATGCGAGCATGTCTCGGTGCTGCGGCTCGAACAGAAGGAGCTATGTCGGAGTTTGGGTGGTGGTTGGCTGGCTGGTTGGTGGACAAGAAGGATTTGCTAGTAGGGACTTCATGTGCAGTGCAGAGAAAGATGGGTCATGCACTTTGGGCATTAACTCTGTATATCTTGCGCTGGGGCACTGGGCCTGAGGTTCATTAGTGGCCGGCAACCTCCTATGCGGAACTGCTGACAAGACAAGCACACAGAGCTGGAACGAAGTTTCAAAGGCGTCGCCCACCTAAACACCAGCCTGCGGATGCAGCTCGACCTAACCATCTAGCGCACCACACACACCCTACCACCATGGGGAAAATCGGGTTAGCCGGCTGCGCTCTGCGACTAGGCTAGAGCCGACGCTCCTAAACAGATACTGCCACAAGCTTGCGAAGCGAACGCGAATGCCTTGCGACATCATGGTCCATGGGCCCCCCTTGGAACCGCTTCTGATGGCGTTGGATTTGCCATGTGTGCGCGGCTGGTCCGCGACTCGCCATGTGCATCATCAAGCCCATTGACTTGAGAATGGGCCGGACCCTTTTTTTCTTCTCTTCTCTCTCCTCTCGTTCCCTACGCAACCCCCCTCCTTTGCTATAGTACTGATAGATACATCCAGATATACTACATAGGTAGGTACGGTTAGGTCACGCCTTTGCAGCCCAGGTCGTCGATCGTCGCCTTGCCTTGACATTGGCGCCGTGACGTGCGGTAGATCATCTGAATGCGTCTTTTTTCCCAGCGCATCCGAGGCCGCGATCAGACTATACATACACTCTCGTATCTATCATGTACTTGGGTACATGTGTGTGCCTGTGTTTGGACACGGTGTGCTCAATGGCACTTTGACGATATTTTTGTTTTTTCTCGTCTCTTTGTCCTATTTGGAGTTGGCCCCACGGCACCCAGCGCTACCACTACCTTGATTTGATGGGTGCCAGAAGACCGCAATCTGCAATCGGGCCGATAGCTCGCAGAAGTTGTTGGCTGCGCCGCCTCGTTGAAGCGCGTTCCCAGGATGTGGCCTGGGAGGGGTGCAGTATGCTCTGGGAGGACCAAGGCTGCAGTAGTGCATGACGTATATTTTGAGTTTGTCGAGGGTGAATTGGCGACGGGCCATGGCTACGCTCGGGTGGCATAGGAAGCAGACCGACGTTGCACAGGGCATGGCAGACCAAAGGCTTCTGCTTCGACGGCGAGGCACCTACTAGCTGGATGGGTGCAGGAACATGGTCTCCCGCCCGTGCATTAGGGCATGGAGCGCCACCACGGAGAGCTACACCATGGGCATAGCCATGGGCATGACGCTGCCCCCAGAAGCCGGATGAAAGCGCCTTGGTAGCTTGGCTGGAGATTGGGTGAAAAGCCTCCGCAGAGCTCCCTTGGCATGCTGGGCCTCGAAGACGACGTGCCCGTTGGCGCCAGGAGTCAAGAAAAACGGTATGTCCGTCAAGGCTGGGCTGCCAACTACTTCCGCACTGCTTCGGTGAATTACAGCATGCTCGCCGTCTGCCCTCGACGACGACGACACGCACATGCGGAGAGGTGTCGCCGTCGCCGTCGCCGTCTGCCCTTGTGCCTGCTGAGACCCATGGAGCAGCGTGCTTCGACGTTGACGACGCACGCTTAACCCTATGAGGCATGTTAACCCCTAGAAGACAGTGAATGCAGTGCTTGCTATTGGCTGCCGATACATGGCGCACATAGGAGAGAGTGCTAGGTGTAGATGGGTGCCAGTCGTCGACGACAGAGCGTCCCTTAGGTACATGGCTCTAGCCACGTCTGATGGCCTTCCCGCCCTTGGACGTGAACCCAAGCCTGAGTCCCCGATCATTTGACCGCCCGTGCGCATGCGCCGACGAGCAGCGTCGAGGAACAAGCTTGCACGCGACGGAGCTCCGTCTGCTCTGTCTTACTACTTACTTAGTAGGTGTAGAGTAGTCATGCCCATCCACCCCACCTACTCATCCATTTCCCACCCCGACAGAGGCAAACCCAAGCTTCCCCCACACAGGCTGTCCTTGGCCAAGCATCACGCAGACGACATGTCGCAGCGCACCGGAGGGTGGCCCGGTTGGCCTGTGTAAATGCTCGGGCAGAATGCATCGTCCAAACCCCCAGGGCACTGGGGGCCCGCTGCCCGCGCCGTCCCCCACACGCCACACTACTCCAATTCAGTCGGCCATTGCACGAATTGGAGCTGCTCGTGTATCACCTACCCCATTGTCTATACATATCCGCATGCCGTCAATAATCCTCATCGCTCTTCAAGTCTCTAGCTTGGCCCCCCCCGTATGCAGGGCGCCCTCACTTTGGGCCTTGCCCGCTCATGTTCATTCCCCTATGCCGGCAGGCACTGGGAGAACGGCATACCCTACTTACTTTCCCCTCTCCCTCTCCCTCTTCCTCTTGTGCCTAGAAATGGCAACCCAGGCCAACCAGAGGCAGAAACAATGCCCTGCCACCATGTACTTAGCTATGTAATCTCCATGCATCAGCCCGCCTAGATTCGCCCCTCCCGCTCTGATCTGCAGCCCATCCTTTCCTGCATCGCTGCATCGCCGCCTCGCTCCCCAAGTCCCCTGACCGTGACACATGCATTACACCTCACCATACAATGTCCATGTACACCTATATAATCGATACAACAACAATAACAACAACACACGTAGACAGTACGATGCATGCACAAGAACAACAACAAGGAGTCTCTGGCAGCCAAGAAGTGACTTGGCATGGCGTGGTGAAGCAGGCCATCAGCACACTCAAGCCAGGCGCAGCAATGTGAAATCGTGTCGCGTCGGTATGGCCGTCTTTGACCGGTCCATGACGTAGGGCACAACGGGCTCACAAGCTCGCAACCCTAGTCCTTTTGACATGGCAGATGGATCGAGGTCGAGACCGCACGCCATGTCGCTCATCTTGCAGACCTTGCCGCCGGCTAGCCACCGCAACCCGACAGTTCGGCACGTGGTCTACCAGGGTCTCCGTCGCCCTCTGCCGTTTTCACCACGACGACTCAGCGTCTCACAGGCTGCAGGTCTCAACTCCGCCTAGTATATATTGGCCGGCTTGGACACGCCACCTTTGAGTGTCAGGGTCACGTCAAAAAACCAAATACGTACAAGTATCCTCTCTTCCGATGATTTTCGGGCCTCGTTGCCTCACCATCGCGACAAGCATTCCAGAAATGTGGCTGCACGTCTTGTGCATGCGTATTCTACGTATTGTACCTACTATCCATGTACTATAGGGGACCTGCCATTGGGATTTGTCCACCGCCATTCGCCCAGCGCCTCCTGGCCCCTTGGCCCGCCCAAAACTAGCCCACACACGCCACGGCAATGCCTTTCTTCTAGCGCGCTTCACCATGCAAACTCGCCAGTGGTCGCTCAAGAACCACGTGTTTTACTTCCTTCTCTGACATATTGCCACTTCGCGTCAAATAAAGGCCTACTGCTGCAATAGCATGCATTGCAGTACCTCTTTGGCTATTCGCGGCCTTATTGGTTCTGTGCTGGCTCCATTATCCAAGGTTTTGATACGGCCATGTGTGGGTGTGGGTGTGGGTGCGCGCACGCCAGAACAAGAACACAATGCTTCGGCATAGCTTGTTTCTGCCAATGCTCCGAGTATCGACATTGAGTGTGCATTATTGGAATCCGCTTCCTCCGGATGCCCGGTAAAAGTCCTCCATATAGCCTTACAAACTATCAAAAAAATTATTAAAAATAAGCGCCTCTCGGACGACTGACCTCCGTGTGCGGGAGCGTTGTCGTGTGTTGCGCGCGCTGTGCGCTGTTCGGGCTCGGTCTGGTCCAACGTCGCTGGTCATGAGTGCGTAGCATGGATTGGCTCGCGAATCTCAATTGCGGATGATCGCCGCATACGGGGGGGGGAAGGCGCGGGCTATCCAGTTTTGGCAAGCACCGGGAACGGGGCCGCGGAGGCATCCTTTTATGCTAGGGGGGCAAAGACTACTACTACTACTTACTACTACTATTGTTATCTACTTACTCCTATCTATAGGGCGCGGGCTTTGAATCGGGTTTTGACAACAACAACAACAACACTATGCATCTTCACCGGACCGGTGTCCCCATCCTCAATTTCCATTACTCCGGCCTGTCTCCCAAACAGTGGCTTTGTGCGGCCGTCTGACGGAGAGTCTATTTAGTGGGAACATTCAACTACTGTCGGTCATATCCTTCTATGGCATGTTACACTCCGGCTTTTCGCAACCCGGCTGTCTGGTGGCGATGGTTCCATTGACATCTCCACATAACACCCAAACTAGCCTCGCAACAATGTCGCCGACACCGACTTCGCACACTCAAATTTAGCACACGCACCCGTTTTACGAGTTGGGTCCATTGGTTCATTCACGGACCGCATGTGTGGGGCGTCTCTAACCGACAGACAACTAGTAGACGACAAAAAAAAAGTAGGCGGCTCTTCACACACACACACGTACTAATACTAGACTGTGGTCCGGAGTCATGAAGGGGTCTACTTACATGTTTAGATACAAAGTACCACCCGACTAACCCATATTAATCCTCCAAGCATCGCCGTCCGCCTCGGCAACCAAGAGTCACGTGCCCATGCACGCGCCATCACATCTCGACTCCTTGTCGCTCCCCGAGCATTGCACATGGATTGTACTCGATACAACTTCACCGCCTATTATACATCCCTAAACTAACACGATTGATAAGAATTCCTAAAAGATTTGTAAGGGCGGGGTAACAGCTAGTGGCCATGCTGGACTACGACTATCACTTCTCTACACTAGGTGCACTCTTACAACTACCACCACGATGATCCTTCTTTCTAGACCCTGTCTTAATCTTTTTTCTCATTCATTCGTTTTTCCCATGGACATGGTCGTGAAACCGCTCATTGTGCACCTTAACCGCTAATCTTGACCTTGGCACCCTATCCTACCCGCTTCCCCCGACGATCCCCTACAATAGACTCCCGCTGCACACTTACTGCTGATCTCCAGTTGCCATCCTGGCCGTATGGCCTGAGGTGGCTGTGTAAACCGACTAACGAGCTGTAGTCGGAAACTATAAGTCAGGCACGTCACTCGTAGTACTACTAAAATATTTCCGGCGTTTGCCCTTTTTGAGGGGTTGCTTGGCTTCAAGCGACAGGACCGGGTATGGTACACGAGCGCTGCGCCTCACTGCACCATGGAGATCTTGAACGTGAAACACATGGGTAGGCGATGGAGTGCGGGTCTGGTGCGGAGAAACGCAGTAGGCATTGCGGTTCTTGATTCATGACTCGACACCCTCGCGGTGGTTTCTTACTCGCGCTGTCGTGATCGCGTGCAGCAGCATTTCCCGCTGTCATCGTCCGCACAGTTAAGTGGCAAACTCTAAGTAATGTATTTAGTTACTCCGTTTATCTCAATCATTGCTTCCGCGTAAACCGAGATCTGCTCAGCCCTCCCCAAGCGTAAAGCGATTGGTGGCAGCGTATACCGATGGCACGGCAACCACGTTCGCCAAGAAAACCGCAGCAATTGTCACACCGACTTGTCATATTGACAAAACAGCTGTTCTAACATCGCATGATGTATTTGCTTCAAAAAGATTTATTGTAAACCGTATAAATCAGTAGATTAATGCCTTGGCACGAGTCTCACTCTATCTGCTACTAGGACTTCCTCACATCAACTCAGCATCGACTTTCTCTTTTCGACGTACTTTGTCCGCTAAAACGAAGTCATGGATCCCTGATGCTGGTTATGGGTCTCTGTTGTCAGCACAACATCTCCACATCACACCAGAAAAAAAATCCCTGACTCCCGCCATTTCCTTTCACTATTCCTAAAGAAACACGGTAACTCTCTCTCCTGATCACCCCACCGCATAAGATAAACAATGTCATGTGTCCTTTACCAGAGCAAGGCTTTCCATGGACCCATGGACCCCTCAATCTCCACTATGGGGTTTCCTATCCAAGAGCCCTGCATACAACCCATGATGGAGAATAAGCATGTGGAGACTCGCTAATTCTGGACAATAAGCGCCATCAGTTTAAGAGTGTCAAGGCCCCATGTTCGACATGTTATATATAGTCAAGCGTCCGTTTGGCTTTCCATCAGTTCCGAGTTCCATATGAATTACAATGTTTTCTAGCAAATAGATTGAGAACTGCCAGCCATGTTTGCAAGAGTCTCAACTGATCATTCGATCAAATACCCCGAGTGATTGGAAATTTAACAGTCAGTCTCACCTCACTACTCGAATTTACCATGGGTAGGAGTTTGCGAATATGCTTTGACTCCTTCGTGACCCATTTATCCTCAGCAATGCCTTCCGCAGTCGAAATCAGTGGAAAGAATGAAACCATGGTTGCAACTATCCTTGACAAGGTCAATTCTTTAGGTTTGAACGTTATAGTTCCTACATTGTATACTTGGAACCTGTGGATATTGGTGTTGCTGAAAAGGGTGTGTTATCGCTGACATCTCACCTCTTGAAACACGGCAGCTTATCTACAGTCCTGCAGAATTAATTTGAATTCTTTCAAAATCATACCAAGGCTGAGAAAACATGTGTCATCATCACTTCGGAAAGCATGGTTGATATGCTTCAAGACGCAATATCCAAAATGAATGATGCCACCAGATCAGGATGAAACAGCATAGGTCATGTGACTAGCACCCTCCGATTGGCCAAAAATGCGGCTCACCGGCTCACAGCTCATCAGCCGTCAGTTTCACGTGGCTTGCTTAGGTAACATCTCAAGCTCCAACTTGAAGGGCACTTTCCCCGCTGATCGCGCATCCAGTCGCGACAAGACCCTAACGAGTTCCTTATTCACCAGCGCGTCTGTCCTCGCTTTTCTGGCGCAATCGCACCTGTCTCTACTTCTCTGCTACACAGTCAGTGATAGAGACACTCAGTCCTCTCGTCAACAAGAGTCCAGCTGACGCCCAGAACCTCCATTCTGAAGCCATCATAGCAGCGCGAAAATCTTCAGAATGTCTCACTCGAGTTCCGCTTCAGAGGGCGAGCTCCCCGACACCCGACACAAGGCAAACACAGTCAACTCGCGCAACGAATCTGCGATTAACGGCTCAAACAGGTCCTTTGGACTAGATGGTGCCCATGATAAATACCGCGCCCTGAGTCGTTCTCCTTCGCCATATCGCCGCAAGCGAACCCCGTCACGATCGCCTTCGCCATTTCGGAAGAACCGTGCAGCCGACCGCTCGCCATCGCCATATCGACGGAGCCGAGCCGAACAGAGTGGCAGTGATACCCGGGGCTACAAGCGCAAGGCTTCTCCGCCACGCGGTCGTCCCGACAAGCGTTACCATGCTGATCGTAGCAGACACGGTGAGCCTCGACGGGCTACAGGCCAGCCTCCAGTAGCGTTTGCAAGAGAGCGCAAAGACGTCATAGATAGATCGCATGCGAAGCCAATCTCATATGCCGAGGTTGAGAACTCTAACCCAGTCCCCAACTTCCGCGAAGCACTCCCCATAGAGACCAATCATCAGCAGCCACGAGACAAAGATCACGAGCAAACAAGGACTCGCAGGCCAAATGAACAGGAGCAGCAGACGCCGTCCGAGAGCGCGAAGACCGCCGTTGCACAGGCTAGCGTCTCTGAAGATGTTGAAATGTAAGGACATTCTTTACCGAATTAGCGTTTCAACGGATGCTGACAATTGCTAATAGGAAAATGAATGATGATACCACTGATTTCACCCCAGCGCCTGTCGAAGATAAAGTGCCTACCCAGGAATCGCGCGAGGAGAAGCGCCGTCGTTGGGCTGCCATACGTGCTGCTACTGAGCAACAAAAGAGCAAAGAGAACCTCTTGCAACAAGCCATTCTCACTAATGCGTCAGAAGCGAACACGCCTAACAACGCTTCGCCAGCAGCATTTGCGGATAGTCCCATATCTCCTTTTGCATCACCCCGCAATGGCGACTTTGAATCTGCACCAGCATCACCTGACGTTATGGTGATTGACAAGCAGGGAGAATTCAGCGAGGGAAACAGTCCGGCGGCGGCGAGCCCATCGGCAGCAGATTACGATCCTATGCAGGATATGTTGGACGACCGGAATCGAGCAGCGCAGAAGAACCAAAATGTCGAAGTGTCTTCGGATGCATATCGCGAGACCGACCCGAAGAATCTTTCCACTTTGCCGGCTGAGAAGGTGGCACCTGTCAAGAAACAAAAGAAGGAATTCGACATGTTTGCGTCTGATGATGATGAGGAGGAAGAGGAAGATGTGGAAACCGAGGCAAATGCTGCCGCCAAAGGAACCGTTCTCGATGAGAAGCTGCTGGATAACTGGGACGATCCCGAGGGATACTACAAGCTGATCAGTAATGAGTTGGTAGATGGTGGACGTTATCGAGTGATTAAGGGTCTTGGCCGGGGTGTGTTTGCCAATGTCGCACAAGCAGAAGAGGTGGGAGCAGACAATGGAGATGCCAGCCCAAGAATTGTGGCCATCAAGATGATTCGCCGCAACGACTTGATGAGGAGAGCCAGTCAGAAGGAAATGGACTTTTTGCGCAAAGTCAACGAAGCAGATCCTCAGGATAAGCGTCATATCATTCGGTTGTTGGGTTCATTTGATCACAAGGGCCATTTGTGCATAGTCTTCGAACACATGTCGAAGAACTTGCGAGATCTGCTGAAAGAGGAGACCAACGGTCACGGTCTAACACTCCCCGCAGTGCGGATATATGCACGCCAGATGTTCCTTGGTCTTCAGCACTTGCAGAACTGTCAGGTTATCCATCTCGACTTGAAACCTGACAACGTCTTGGTCTCTGCTGACAAAAAGACGATCAAGCTTGCCGATTTCGGTACCGCCGTCGACAAGCGAGACGTCATTGAACGCACCGAGTACCTTGTCAGTCGATTCTACCGTGCACCCGAGATTATACTTGGCATGGAAGTAGGATATCCTGTCGACATGTGGGCTGTAGGCTGCACGGTGTATGAACTCTGGACCGGCAAGATTCTCTTCACCGGGCGATCCAACAACCAAATGATCAAGTCATTCATGGACTGCTTGGGATGGCCAAGCGAGAAGCTCCTCAAGAAAGGTCTCGTCAACAATGTTCTTGACAACTTCGAACTCGGACCCCCCTTGAAGTTCATCAGCCGCGAAGTCGACCAGTTCAATAAGGTAAGCTTTTACATCCCAGTCCCTGTGAAAAAAAAAGCCGATAACTAACCCACACCACAGTTCTCCATTCGCAAAATCGAACAACAAAAAAAGATCCCCCGCGACATGAAAACCCGCGTCCACGACGCCGCCCGCAACATCTCAAACGGTGGCCCCACCGCCGTAGAGCTGAACGACCTAGCAGACCTGCTCAGCGCAACCTTACACATGAACGTGGAAAAGCGTCTCACGCCCAAGGAAGCCCTTGCGCATAAATTCTTCGCTAATAAGACGGCTGCCCCGGCCAACAAACCTCCTGTGCCTGGCAAATCCGCAGTTGTCAAGCCGCCCATGATGAAGCGTGGTACCCCGGTTAACTCGTCGGGTATGCGGAGGTGATTTGTGTGGATGAGTGTGAAGGAAATGGTGGGCTAGTCTATTTACACAAAGAGGTACATAACATGACATACATATCATACACATAACATACGTATGCAAGTTGACCTTTTTCTTTCTTTGCATGCAACCTTTGCTTTGGGAATCGGGTTTAGATTGTGGGGGGAGGGGGATACTGAATTACTTTTTTTCCCTTCTTTCCTTCCTTCTTTCGGGCATGCGTGCGTGGCTTTTTGCTTTAGCGCCAAAAGTCAGCGGTGGTGGTGGTGGTGGGGAATGGTGTTTGATCGATCTAGGTTCTTGGGTGGCTGGTCATGGAATGGGCATGTGTATTGAGGAAACCTTGGTACGCTATTTGGTGGGAAAAAAGAAAGAAAGAAAGAAAGATGGGAGTCTAGGGGGGGTCTTGCTGGGATGGAATTAGATACGGGGAATGAGCAAGGTTTTTTATCGTATGTACTTATATGCTGGGTTTAGTTTTCTTGTGGCTTGTACCACAGGAAACCTCCCCTTTTTTTGTATGCAAAAAGTAACATTGTGTAGAGAAGTGTTTATCAACATTTTGCATGGACGGGGGTATATATATATGTATATATCCAAGTCAAGGGACTGGGGGAATATCAGGTATATATACAAACACGCGTGGGGGTCTATTTCAAGCGTTGATTTCTCCCCTCAAGAAGGCCTTTACCTTTTCGCCCCAGACTATTTGGCGCTTGTATACTGTGATTTTGGGTACTGTGCCGCGACCTAGGCCGTCGATTGCTTCGGCGAGTACAAGTCCGTTTCCTTCGTTTCTCATTTGTTGGATGGGATAGATATACGTCTGTCGTGAAATCGTCAGTACACTCAGTCTCCCATCGGTTTCTTCAGTGTAAGAGATAGGTGACATACCTTAAACCCAAACACCAATGCCCCCGTCCTCGGCAACCGATGCAGCGTCTGTCTCTCACACCTCACAACTGTCTTACCCAAATCCACATTCTCCTCCTGTTTCTCGCGCTCCTGCGGCATCTCCAGCTCACTCTCACTCATATGCGCCCCCGCGAGACAAAACAAGTCTCCCGTGGTACTAATGCTCCAATTCACGCGCTTTACGATTTTGCCAACGGGAAGCGCGGAGAAGTAGCGGTCCATGCTCTTTTCTAGCTTCTCGGCGTAGTGTGGGACTGGGGCGTGGATGGCGGCGAGGGAGAGACCAAGTTTGGAGAGGGTGGAGAAGCCGGCGGGGAAGCAGTTTATGAAAGCTGTTAGGCGGTATGGTTCTGTTGCTTGGGAAGATGGGTTGTCTTGTTTTTGGAGTAAGAGAAATTCGGTGTCGATGTTTTCGCCGAGGATTTGAAGGGCGAGGTCTGGAGAGGTGACATGGAGGGGAATTAGGGTGTTTGTGGCATGGTTTTTTAGGTAGGTTGTTGATGCTGTGTCTTCGCTGGGGGGAAGGTGGACGATGCTATAGATGGAAGGGAAGCGACGGGGTAGGTAGGTTCCTATGGCCCATTCGTATAGTTCCATGACTGCGGAAATGGCTTGCGGTTTGCAGGCTATGACCTCTGGTCGCTGGTCCTGGATGATTTGGCGACGAATGTCGAGACGCTCCAAGTAGGTGTTGTCCATGGCGACGAGGTCGGAAAGTGTCGTGTTTTCAAGGGCTGGGAAACACTGTGTCAGCCTGGCAACTAAATGATATATCTACTGTTTGCTGGAATTATCATGGCAAGACATACCCATGGTCATATGATACTTTGGTTTGAATGGCCGCAGCTGGAGTGGTTCCGTCGTCTCAAGATCGAAGTCTGAGAGGGGCTCGATGGAGTAGTATGCTGCTTCAGAGTGCTCCTTCACAGAAGGATTCTTTTCCACATATGCAACTGGCTGCACATCCTGAATGGAGGTCAGTTATGCTGACAATGTGCAGTGAAGGATACGAGCGATGTACTTGTTTGCCTCTGATACTCTGGCCCGGCTGTCTCCTATTCCAGGCGTAGAGAACAACGCCGAGCACCAGTAGTAAGAACCATGGTAGCAACCCAACAAAATGGCCAGCAATTATTTGATTCATGGCAATGATTCGGTATGTCCCAAGATGTTCTCACGCAACCATGTGGGATTGAACAAGTTAATGTTTGGTGTGTTGCATGTCAAGTACACAGGGCGTGCAATTGACATGACAGCAACACGTCATTACGGATAAGGTAGGATTTGAGAGAGTGAGAACCGGGAGAAGTCGGTACACGCGATAGACGCCATTGTCATCGGACAAAGAGGGAAAGAGGTGGGATGCAACTGCCTATCGGGGCGAACCCCGCATTGGGAACATTGACGCTAGAGAGTGGACGATAGGCACCTGTTGGCATCTAGATAGCGGGTACAGCCTGGAATCTTGTAGAAATGAAGGATATCCAGGTGGGTATTTATGATTTCAGCATTTCTTTCCGCAGCAGCAGCAACTTTTCTAAATCTATACTTTGTGTTTGATAGCAGTCTATGACTCGCTCTACGCACTCGGCTTGATAAGCCCGAGTCAGAACTGTCATGGCATGAGGGTTTCTCAAAGCCCGGTAAATTGTCCTGTTTGTTTTTTTCCATCCAAGGTAGCACGGAATGTCGTATCGCATTGGCAAGTGCCTGAGCCTAAGCCTTGGCCTCCTCAGCCTCCGGGTGGCCCACGGGCACCAGCTTGCCCACAACCAAGTACTTTTCACTGAATCGCTCCTCCCAGCCTCGTAATGCATCCATCTGCTCATCATCCAAGCCCTCCAACGTGTCGAGGGGGCCGTCCAAGTCCTTGGTCAGCATATCCTCGTCAAAACTGCCGCATGCCAGGCCTCTCGAGGCGTCCCTGCCAGCAAAGTTTGCGTAAGGGCCACCAGGGCCGTAGAAGTTGCGACCGGGGGTGACATCAAAAACACGTCCGCGGACAGCTAGATAGACTGGCATATTGTTGAGGCCATTATAAGGGAATAGCGAGGGCGGAGTAAAGGTACGGAAAACGGTTGGGGGCGGAGCCCGCGGAAGAGTCTGAGGAGTCGAGGGCTTGAGACGGAGGTAGACCAGGACACCGAAGAGCGAGAGGAGGACAAGGTTGATTGGAGTGAAGACCGAGGCGCTGCGACGAGGGGGTTAGCCTGGCGAGGGAGGGAGGGAGGGAGGGAGAAGAAGAAGAAATGTGTCGCTTACGCATGAGTTGCCTCGGGCTGGGGAATGGGCGAGGGAAGTGCTGGTTGTAGTGTGAGTGTGAGTGTGCATGCGGATCAAGACTAGCGTGTATGGATGGACATACCGTCTGCCATGTTTGGAAGCAGTGCAGTGGGAGCAAGTGGTAGAGAAGGTGAGGAGTGGGTGGTATGGTGTATAGGCGGTCGGCGGTAGGCGTGTTAGGCTAGCGGCAACGGGCGGGTAGGTGGGGAGTTTAGTGGTTGCAATGATGCAATGCCCGGCTAGCCATACTGTCTTGAACCCCGACAACTCACCCCGACCATTCTTTGACTGTGCAAAAGCAAGCAGCCCTGCCTGTCGCCCGTCATGCTGCACTTGGTTTTTGGCCCCTTTGCTCTCTCTTCAGACACACATCGGGCGGCCAGCTGTCCGTGAATGGGGGGGTGAGGGGCTCTTGGATGCATCCTCGATGACATCTGAGCGTCCACCTGCGACAGTAGAAGCTCTGGGGCGCATTCATAAGCCCTCGGTGGCCCCTATCAGTTCAAGATCAGGATTCCTCTCGCTCTGCACTGTCCTTCTCCTCATGCTGACCTTCCGGCTCGTTGTGTAATATCTGCCTGTACTATACATCATCATCATCTCTTGCTGAGCACACGCGCCCTGGCCCTGTGCGCCTGAGGCTGAAACCGCCTACACCGGCGCTGAAACGCGTGGCGTGGATTCATTTGGCCTACCTTGGTCTGCCCTGATTCGTCCCCGCCTCACCCGCTTGGCCTGCCTAACCCGCCTCTGGACTCATTGTCAGAGAGCGCATCGCTGCCATCGAACCATTCAGTCTGTCGACGAAATAGAGCATTGGGGCGCGTCCGTCGGCGCTTTCAAGACGACACTCCTTCTGCTGCTGCTATTGCCATCGTCTTGCGCGTAGCAAGTCGCTATTTTTACATTGCGGCACCGACCTGATCGCCCCCCTTCATTTACCAAGATTGCGCCGACGAAGAATAGTAGGGCACCGCCACCCACTTGAACCTGCTCCTTTCCATTCACCCTAGATTCAATATCAACACACTCAATCTTCCGGTCATCTAATCCTGACCTGCCACATCTTCAATTGGTATGTACTGCAATCTCTGCACATGTTCTTTCCTTTCTCCCCCCCCATCACTCCCTCACCCACCAGCCTTGTGCCATCATGTCTACTTCCGGCCCCCCTTCCGGAAGCACTGAGCCAGCCAACCATCCAATTTACCACTTCTGTACCCATGGCCACCTCTTACAAGACGCGTCAACCCCACAGGCCCGTTCGTCGTCATCCCATTCTCCGCATCTTTTGATGATCGACAGGCCATGTCGTTCGCCTATCTCCCGCACTCACTAGAACAACGCCCACCGGATCCAGCCCTGCCAAGACGTCCGCACCAGTCGCTCTCATACGTATTACTACTTTAGCTCGCTTGCTGCAAAGTTTAAATATGACATTACATCATGTAAACCTGTCATACTACAACGGCACGCAAATGACTGCCCTGTGTCCTGACGCGTACTCGGACTAGCGTTGCATAAGGCTAATAAATGTTTCATGCAGGCATCATCACAATGTGGAAACGATTACAGGGTCACGTCCGCGAGAAAGAGAAGCATGCGCAAATAGGCAACCCCGTACTGCTTGAAACCACTTATGACCAGGATCAACTCCACCGTAATCCAAATGTCACCGGCCTCCACAATCCCGAGCAACAAAACTATGTGCTCCCCCCGCTGGATTCACTGTACGTCCAGCTATCGCTCCGTCCTAATCCAGTGCTAATCAGCCTTGCCCTAGTTCCAAACCTTCACCAAGCCCTACCATAACTACAGCGTCTGGACCGCCAACCCTCCCTCCAGTCCAAAGACTATCGGCAGTGCCGACTATCCCTTCGGTCTATTCGCGGGCCTCGATCGAAGACTACTATTACAGTAATCCTACAGCCACATTACGGTCCAACTACGACGATCTATCCCCGCCAAGTTCACCAGAGTCTGAAAAGTTCCTCCCGTCTTTTGACCCACCTCAGTCTATCCGTGACATATCCTTTCGCGACTTTTCCTCAATGGATGACAACCAGCGGAAAGTGCAAGACGAGCCGCGCGATGCCAAGGCAATTCCCGTCTTGCGCAGAGCACCTTCTGTCATTCGAACTGGTGATGTACAGTCTGGCCCCAAGCAAAAATTCTGGGAAGGCAAGCTTGCGCCAAACAGCAAAGTAAAATGGGACGAGTACTCGGGCGAGCCTAACAGTGCAGGAAAGGCCGCGTCAGTTGATCCGCACACCTATGCAGTAGGCGTGCCTTCTGCAGGTCTCAAGCCCATGGGCTACCAAGTTTCGGTATCCGCGGCTGGCCCTGAGAAGAAGAGTCTGAGTTTTGGAGAGCGTCTTACTCGTTTCGGCTCGAAGCGTTCGCCAACAGCAGTCAAAAACCAACCTGGAGAAAAGGCATTGCAAATACCACGAGCGACTACATCACCAAGCTCGGACCAAGTCAGATCAAACACGCTTACTGTTGCCGTCGATTCAGCACCCACGCTTGCTGATACTCGACCCGTCACAGCCGAAACCGCCAACTACGAGGTGCATGAAGAGATCATTAAACCCGTCGTGCCCCTAAAAGTAGGAAAGAAGTCGCCTGCAGGAAGCATTCTCACTTCTCCAACATCTCCTATCGCCCACGGCCTTGGTATTAGTGCATTTTCTTACCCAAGCCCTGTCACGCCCAAAAGCCACGAGGGTCAGAAACAATCCCCGGCCATTGTAATCGAGACCGAACTACCCATTCACCCCGCTTACCGGACAGCAACCCCACCAGAGACAGACAAGCGACCCATCGCCAGCCAATTCTCCTGGACCACATACAGCCCGTCTATAACGTCCAACCAACACTCGCCGCCACCTTCACCCCCACTCTCCGCCTCATCCTCGGTCCTCCTGCGCCGCCGGCCCGTCCCCCACTCCGACCGCATCCCAGACTCGCGCCCCAACGCCTCAAGGATGCTGTCCCCCTCCAACGTCTCCACCTTTTCCACCGCAAGCGGCATGTCCAACACATTTAAAGCGCTACCGCACCCACCTACTGCTCTCTGCGCCCTCGACCACATTGCACTTCTAGAATCACAACAAGAAGACCTCCGCATCCGCCGCAACAACGTCTACCGCCTTCTCACTGATCTCAACAATGCCGCGCCTCCGAACCCGCTCTTGACGGATTTCAAGAAGGCGAAAGCGGTTGAGCATAAGAAGAAGGCGTTTGAGGTCGAGCTTGATGATATCAGGCGTGAGGAACATGACGTCGGGCTTAAGTTGCATCGCGCGTGGAAGAAGAGGGAGCAGGATGATCCGAATGCCGCTGGAAGTGCGCTTTGGGTTAGGAGAGTAACGAGTTAAGAGTTTTCTTTCATATGTTTTAAGGTGGAACATGGACATGGATATGTCTATTCCGCTTCTTTCTCTCACTCGTCATGTTCCCTATTGTCTTTTCTGTAGGGCTCAACTGCCTAGATGCAGTCTGCTTTTCTTTTTCTTTTCTTTTGATCTCCATGGGCGTTCCCATTTGACACACTGGCATTCGCGTGGGGGGGACGTAAGGGGCGTATATCTCGTGAAGCATATGCTTCACTTCTTTCGTATCACATGATTCACCTTTTTTTTTTGAACAAACATTGTACCTTGTTTAATTTAATGACATTTCTAGTGATGTTTCTTCTGACTTTAGTATTCAAGTTGTGACTACGCTCCATGAAAATAAGAAGTAGCAATCCACTTAGATAGGAAATTATTACCCCACAAGACGCATTGGCGCTCCACGACAGCTTGTTTTCGATCGGTAAAACCAGAAAATCCAGACCAAGCGGGCCAGCCCGCCAAGAGGAGCAACCTTTGCTACAACATTATACTTAAGTGAAGGACAAGGATAATGATACCGGTGGTGTTGGGCAATTTTATCTCCGACTTTCTCAGTCGACCGAGAGCTCGTAAGCTCTTGGTAAGCCAGCGCTGCCAGTGCCCCGCATTCAGGTACCGAGAGCCCCTCCGACATCATCATCCCCACCTCGTGAATGATTTCCCGCCCCTCTCCATCTGTGGTCATTGGACCTATGAGCTTCGTACAATTACCAGAGCACAAATGAATATGGGACTGGCAAACATGCCCCCACCTTTTAGCCTTTGGCGGACATTTCGGATGCTACTATCTTGTGCTATGGCTGACAATTCACCGGCTTTACCCAACTATCTTCATACCAATCACGCCATGATTGTTTACGTTTTATTTTAACCTGCCAAACCCATTTCTGAGACTTGTTCTTTGCTTTTCAAATCCATAACCGCCCTCGTTGCGCACTCTAACCGCCCACGCGCGAAACACCGCTAGTCCACCTCATACATTCATCTTTCCCAGTGTCCAACAATGTCGCTTCCCAAGAGCGCAGACGAATCGACGGTACCCGTCCTCAAGAACCTCACAATCGAAAATATCACAGAAAATGTGCACCGCATAAACTCGCAATGCAGCGATCCACGGCTCAAGTATGTCATGGAGCGTCTGGTAACGCATCTGCACGACTTTGCACGCGAGACACGCCTCAGTTTCGACGAATGGATGGCAGGAATTCAATTCCTGACGCAAGTAGGCCAGATATGTACTGACGTGCGACAAGTATGAGTTCCCTTTTTACTGTCTCTTCTACAAAACCCCTCCAAACTAACCAAAAAACAAAAGGAATTCATCCTTCTCTCCGACATTGTCGGCCTCTCCCTCCTTGTCGACTCAATCGACCACCCCAAACCCCCTTCCTCAACCGAAGGCACGGTCCTCGGTCCCTTCCACACGCACGACGCCCCTTCCTCCGCACCAGGCGCCAATATCTCGGCCGACCCTTCTGGCACACCTCTGCTCGTTCTCTGCACCGTGAAAACCACATCCGGGGCCCCGATCTCCGGCGTCAAAATCGACGTCTGGGAAACGGATTCCAACGGCAAGTACGATGTGCAGTATGAGGATCGCGGCAACAAGGCCGATGGCCGCGCGGTGATTACCAGCGACGATGAGGGAGTGTTTTGGTTCAAAGGAATTGTGCCTGTTCCATATCCGATTCCAAATGATGGGCCTGTAGGCAAGTTGCTAGATAAGCTAGGGAGGCATTGTTGGAGGCCGAGCCATATGCATTTCATGTTTGAAAAGCAGGGCTTTGATCATTTGGTTACGTACGTTCGTCCCTTTATCCCCGTTTCGCCTACTGTTATCGCCTTTTGAAGGCTATGGAGCATATGGGAGAAGTGTAACTGACAATCTTAGTGCCTTGTATGTACGCGGTTCCGCCTACGAAACGTCCGACGCCGTCTTTGGCGTCAAGGACTCGCTCATTGTTGGTTTGGACACTGTGACGCCCCAGCAGGCGAAGCAGTATGATGTAGCCGAGGGAACCAAACTGCTTACATACGACTTTGTGCTTGTGACGGACGAGGAGACGAAGCAACTGAGGCATGATGAGGCGGTTAAGGCGATGAAGTCGCTGGGGCGGGAAGGTATGATGATCGTGAATGGGTTGCCTGTTCCTGAGGTGGATTAGGTGTATTTCGAAACTTGCGGAGTAAATGGAATTTTGCTGAGGAGCTGGATAGCTATTGCTCAATATTGGAATACTTGGTAGTTATCAAAAAAATCTGGCAATAGCCCTTTATTCCGTGTTTCAATCACTCTGATTATTTTCTTCTAGTTGTAAGGGTAAACCTATCTAGCAACTCGGTACATAGATATGGGGAATCCTTACACCACCAAAGTATCAGCAAAATTTCGACCAGATTCAACTCGCCATTCCACAATTCTCCAAAACCAAACACAAACATGAAGAGCCCATTTCAGCATAACCGCCAACAAAAACATCTGTCCTCTCTCTCTCTCTCTCTCTCTCTCTCTCTATACCAACCCATCTTTTCCCGCACATCTTCCAACATTCCCTCACAGCAACCCTTTTTCCAAACCATGCCACTAACAAATTCAGAAAACTACTCCCATCTCGCCGAATTTTTTTAAATTTTCCAAGGGCACCTCTATACGTGGGGTTACTTACACTACACATCAACTGACTTTAGACACATCTACTACTACCCCACTTCCCCCACACACACACTTAAGCTACTACAAACCCAGCCTCCAACTTTCCCCCCCCCCCCCTTTCCTACCCATTCCTCCCAACTTGTACCACTAAATTTAGAATATTTGTGCGTCTATTTTGACTTACTAACCCAACTCAACTTTTTATTTTTATTTTTCTTACGTTTAAAAACAAAAAAAGGGGGGGGGGGTGATTTGGGATACTAGGAGTGTGTTGTACTACTATACTACGGATTGATAGATGGTTTGGGAGAGGAATGTAGGGTGTGGAGAATGTAAGTGTTAGATTGTGGGTAGGGTGGGAATGGAATAAGTGGGTTGGGTAAAGTAAAGGGAATGGGATGTACGGTTTGGATATACTCTATTTGATCTTTTTGGATGCTGTGATGAAGGTAGCTGTGGGGGGGGGGGGGGGTAGAGAGGTTAGAGAGCGGAGTATTTATTTGATCGATGGGGAGGGAGTGTATGGTATATCAGATGTGAAGGTAGCAAATGGTGTCAGGCGCAGAATGATGAATAGGTTTGGAAGTAGACTTGGATCGTTTACCCCCAAAAGAGTACACTGGTGGGACAGAAATGATGGGAATAGGAAAAAGAGGTAGCTTCGCCAAGAGCTTGTGAGCAAGACCCCTCGGTTGTGCAACCAAGGCCGGTGCAACCGGTCTATCGTGCCTAGAGATCTGGTACTCATGTCCGCACTGACACGTTTTTGTACCTTAGACTGGATATTCAGTCGTAGATAATCAGTTGTTGTATCGGTAGTTTTCGTGTGTGCATTTGCTGCCCATTGTTCTAGCAATTGCAGCACACCCACCGAAATGATACAGGTAATACACGTTCACAGAGTAGCAATCAGTTGAATGAATTACTCAATATTATTATTGAAGCAGATGACTACTTATAACCCCAGGCGCAGTATTTTACCATACTTCAGTAGCCTGGAGTTTGACTTTCGCCCGTAAATTTGCAATAACACACTGTCGAAACATGACCCGAATAAAAGAAAATAGACGAGAAAAAAAAGAAAACCACCCCTTCATTTCAAAGAAAGCAATTCGTTTTCGGTTCAAGCGCTGTTCTTGGGGTTTTCAGGAGAGGCTTTCCACTGTCCACATGTCAGCAAGGGTTACACGACGTCATGGCGCAATGCGTATCGCAGCCGGGAAATCGCCTGAAATGGGTAGAGAAAAACGTACCTTCTTGCCGAGCTCTTGCTGTTGCTCCTTGAAAGACAAGTCCTTGTACTCGTCGCGGTGAGCCTTGACTGTGTTGTTGGTCAGCAAACCTTAACCCCTAACAACACCCGTCTTGTGTGGCAACAAAGCGACAGTCGCGTCTGGATAACGCGATAAAGCGCGTCAAATGGTGGAATACTTACAGTATGCTTGCATCTTGGCCATGGCGTTTCTGGCGTTGTTCTTCTTTCCCGCGCGACCGCCCTTGGGAGCAGTCTTCTTGACGCCGGCGGCGCTTGCCGTCTTTGGTGTCGCCGTCTTGGTAGTGGTGGTAGTAACAGCCATTGTGAGGTAGGTGATGCTAATTGAGATTTATGAAACACGTGAGATGGATTGATTTGATGAGATCTGGAGGATAGAAAGAAACTGCGAGTGATAACTCTTGTTGTTGTTGTGGCAGTGAAGAGGTGGGAAGGTGAAGTGAAGGTTGATTAAGAGCAGGCACGGCCCCAGAACACGCTAGACCAGGCTTAGCTCATCACATACCTACTCTATGATCTCCATAGCCTGTTCTGATACATGCGCCGGCCCTCGTGAATGGCCAGACGTGATTGGCGCATATTGTTATCTGAAACTCTTGGTAATATATGCCCCAGACACTTTGGGCACAAGCGAGACACAACGGCACAAGAGCGCATGATTATGCTCGAAGACACGACTCCCATTCCATATGGCGCTTGTCAATAGTTGCTCTCCAACGATATGGACGGCGTCTTGACCTTAAATGGCCCAACCCCGCTGTCATCTCGAGCGATTCAGGTTTGACATGGCACAACTGCCTGAATCGGTCTTTTGCCGGATCCGCAAGTCCATGAGTCGCTATATATATACATATATATATGCAAGGCCTCATTTTGGAGTTTCCAGATACGAGGAATACCATGCGCTGTTTTCCATCCCACGACATAGTTTCAGTATGCGGGATTTCTCTCCATGTTTTCCTTGAGAAATGGTGAGTCTCTTGAGACAGTGTCAAGGTACTTGTACAGCACATGTCCCCTCAAGTCCAACTCTTACACACGGTCTCGCGAACGTAGCTTAGATTGCGAATATTTAATTGTAGATCTGGCTCCGAGCAGACTATGACGACGAATCCTCCGTTGTCTCCTCTGTTATGCGACGGGATCGAGCGTCGTGCGAGTCGGCATTTGTACCCCCTGTATTCACCACCGGCTTCTCGAAGCCACGGAGACTAAACTTGCGACGGCGACCGCTTGGCCGTTCTGTAAGACTGGGAGCACGGGGCCTTGACTTTCCCCGGGCGCGTCCGCCCACGACGGGTATCTCGTGCGCACCGGCGCGGAAGACGTACAAGAGTATGTCGTAGACGAGCAGCACGGCCCACGGGGCAATGGCTATAAGGCCGAGGAAGAGCTAGGGCTAGTGAGAAATCCGGATTGCGGTTGCAGGCACACGACAGTACTCACGAATATGCGCGTAATCCACGTCTCCACCACCGCGAAGCTCTCAGGCAGAATTGAGAAAAGACCCATATCGGCACGAGACGGAAGCTTGCGCACGCGACTGCAAACAAGCAACTGGCGTGCTGAGTGCGGAAGAATAGGAGATTCCAGTGGTGGAATTAATGGGTACGAGGAGGATTGCACGTCCGCGACACCTAGCAGCACTCACGGATGTGTATGGCTGTACGTACGTAAGTATATATAATGATGGGGAAATGTGGCCGAGGGGCTGCGGATAGGTACTGGGTCCCGCCACACGTGTGGAGCCAGGCGGGTCGTGGCTGGTGCGCTTTCCCCGGCTGCATCCCGGTAATAGGGCCAGGGATCATCCATCCACCCCCTCAACACCCACCACTGGCTCTCTACGCTCGACGCAGCTGACAGAAGCCTCAGCCTTAGATGCACACTTGTATCATCGCTCCACGACTGGTTGATCGGCTCCCTTGGCCCCGCCCTTCCAGAGCCAATAGGCACATGTTCGGCATGCAGTACTACCACCCTCCAAAGGGCGCTGCTCGAGGCTTAGATGCCCCTCCACTGTGGCAGCGCTTGAATCTTACTCACATGCAGTGCCTCTTATCGAGGGCCGTTCGCTATATCGTCATTAAATCAATCTCAATCATATCCCGACTACAATCGACCCTGTGCTGGCGGTAGGCTTCCATGAGACACGTGCGTGGCTCCCTGCGTAGGCAAACGGCTGCCTGATTCTGTTTCCTCTCCGTCATTGCCAGCCACGAGGCTATGCCTGTCAGACTATAGCGGAGGCTCCCAGATTTTTGACTTCCCTGTGGACCCTCTCAAAGCATCACATACCATACTTTGCACGCCTTCACAAACCAGGCGGTCGTTCTCACTGCTACAACCTGCTCAATATCCTCGCTGACTCGGCGTGATATCCACAAAACACTACAATACTGGACATTTATCGCAAAATAGTTGACGGCCTCCGGCCTGCCGCATCAACATGGACGACCTCTCATTCCTGGACATGTCCGACCAGGGCAACGCAACACTCAAAGCTGTACTTCCTGGCGGACAGGTTCGTCTGATTTCGTGTCGTATCTGCCCATACATGTTCCTGGACAAATGCCCATTGCTGTACCACGCATTCGAGTACGGCTTGAATGGTTGTCTTCAGGCCAGCATCGAGGTTCCATCCGCAAATGGGCTTATCTCGCTACTCCGCTACTGCTACACAGGTAGCTACCTCCCACCCACCGCGGATGACGGGACTCCCTTGCTGCTTCCACATGTCGAGGTTTACAAGATGGCCGAAGACTTTGATATTCCCGAACTGCAGCTCCTCGCCCATGGCAACTTCTCTTGCCAAATCGAATTCGCATGTTGCGTACCCTTCCCGCCTCAAGATCTGCTCGAAACCATTCGTTTCGTATACCAGCACTACTCCAGCAACCTAGCGCGCCGACAGCACGACCTTGTTGGTACGCTCCTCAACTACATCATCTCAAGGTTCATGTATTACAATCTAGGAGAGGATGCGGACTTTATTAAGCTCGCAACCGATATTCCAGAGTTTTGTCAAGACCTTTGTTCTACAAACATGGAGCGAAATTTTGAAGACGATTGTAAGTCTGAGACATTTCTGACATAGTTGTTGAAACGTTACTAACCTCAAAAGGCGCCTTCCACATCGTACGGTTGTGTCTCGACACTCTATGCGTCCAGCCCTGCACCCGGCCCATTCCTACTACCTCAAAAGACCTGTCATCAGAGATAATATGTGAGGAAGATACCATTATTTCGGATGAGTCAGAAAGTGAGGACACGTCCCGTGTGGTTTCTGCTCTTGCGTACAGAACAAACGAAAGGGAGGATGCAAGGAACATGATGGACTCCTTCACCACCACTCTTGTCCATCGACCCAAGATTCCACAACCGGACGTGATGGAAGGTATCGAGACCCTACCTTCCGATGAGGACGAGGATTATGCGGTGGTATCAGTGTCCGGTTTACGTACTCCTACTACTTCCGATGAGCTAATGTCCAGCCCGGAGTTGGTTCCTACACCTGTTGTCGATATTCTGGCCGCCACCGGCACTGACTATACATCTGATGACGAGTGGACTATAGTCCGATAGGATATCGCCGTCACTTGCCTTACCACGTTAAGTGCCACTTTTCACAACAAAAAAATATTTACGATTTCCACCTTGATTGATACACGCGTTATAGGAGTTACAAGAATAACGAAAGGCAAAAACAGGCGTATTTACGAAACAATATGGTTTGATTTAATTTCTAGCATATGCAACACTAGGGCTTGGATTTGGGCATGTCACTACTGTCACTGAGCAGCGGAGCCTGGATTACACAATTTAAAACTTTGGGTGATGTAACGTAATCTATCCAAAACATGGCGAGATAGGTGTTGTGTAAATCAGCTCTAATTTATGCAATACACAATATTGTCATTTTTACTTTGTGTGTTCTTCCGTCACTGCTAATTTGTTGAATATTCTCTGGGGCATGCTTGAAGTGCAGTGTTGTCTGGGTTTGAGTTTGTAATCTTTTGATTATGAGAGAGGACCTGTATGATCCGAATCGCATGGTCTTCGAAAAAATAGCATCTACCTATGGAAACGGGTGAAAATGAGAGTAGCTATCTGATTTTCTCGCACGCAAAGTCAACTGCCAGTGTCAATCACTCAATAAATTTCTTGATGTCTGTGTTCTATGGTTTTACCCCCAGCCATTAGATTTCTCAATGAAACGGACAGTTACATCTCGGCCTGTGAACTGTCAAAAAAAGACGAACCATAGTCTGCATGACCAAATTTAGAAATTCAAATAATAGCACCAATCTCAAGAGGTTCGTCGCAAACCCGAGAGACATTCAACACCCCGTACTACTGCGACAGCAACGACACGTCCAATGGCCACACGCCCATTGGGCCGCAACAAAATCCTCCAACTCTGGTTACAAAGCCTCCTAGGCTCACGAAATGTCACCCTATTTCGCACAAGCTCATGTTACTCTAGCTATAACTACTCACCATTTCCCCCTTAACCATCACTATCCCACATAAACCACAAATCCCCATTCACAAACAACTAAACACCACCCTCACACTCACCAACACAACCATCCAACAAGCAAACAATCACACCCTTTCACCCAAACATCCAAATCTCAACAACAGAAATGCCCTTCCGCACCCCCCAACCAATCTCCAAACCCCCAAAATGTCCACCAACACCGCGACCCCAACCAACTCATTCCCAAATCCCTTCACCCCCTCACTATAACCTCACACCCGCACCCCCCTTCTTCGCCAGCTTGGCAGCCCGCCTAGCCTACACATCCGAACCCCGCTTCCTGCCCAACGGCGAACTCACACGCCCAGACCCCATGCCAGGCTACATACCCGTGCACCAGGACGACCGGTTGCCAGTACATCCACGGCCCGCTAGTGTTTTATCTTGGAAGTCCGGACGGAGGAGTGAGAGGAGACGGGAGGCGAAGAGTGATTCGATGACAACGACGACAACGACAACGACAACGACAGCTGAGGGGAGAGTAGAGAAGAAGAAGAAGAAGCAAAAGGAAGAGGCGAAAGTAGGTGGGAATTTGAGGCAGATAGATTTGGTGATGCGGCCGAAGAGTGAGGCGCAGAAGAGGAGGCATGCGGGGTGGCATCCTTGTGAGCATACTGCTGTGGCTGAAAGGCAGTCGGAAGCGAGTACTGGGAATACGTCGCCGTCTCCGTGTGAGTCTGGTCGTCTAGGTAGGAAGAGGGAGACATACGTACGGTGTACGTGCTGTGGACGGGAATACCAGGCAAAGTCACCGGCGGAGCTGAAGACAAATACGAAACTCGGCATTTGTAGGGATTGTGGGAGGAGAATGGGTGTGGAACATGGTGAGACGGAGGAGATGGAATTGTAGATAGGCGTTGTATACAATAAAAAAGAATGGGGGTCGTGGCTTCGTGCCCATCCCACTCAGGACTTTGTTCTTCGTTCAAGGCCTAACAACTCGAGACCACACAGATGTCGAAATCATAGGAGAACCTGATATAGTAGTCTAATCCTGATTTGTCTGAGTGGTAGAAGGAGAAGAATCAACCACGAACAGCGTATCACAATAGGAAAAAAAAATCTTTTCTCTGTAGCGGTAGGGCCGCGCATACTTTACATGTTAAAAGCCACATTATCCGTTTGGAACGAGATCAAAAGGACACCCGTATGTGCAGAAAAAGTTTGTTTCAACGGTACAGAAACCAGGACATCCTCCATGTAGCTATGACAGTCATAGGGAGACCATCTCAAAAGGAACTAAACCTCCCGTGCCAGATAGCGCATCAGGACGATGCCGCGCCAGAATAGTAAAGATACATCAAGAATCCAAGGCCCCGGAGTAGGAAAGGTAATAATCAGTCTCATTGGCCTCATGTCGCGCAGTCATACCTCCGGATATTCTTAGGCTCCATTTTCGCGTAATCCATGTCCACAGTGGGAAGCATCGGAGCGTCAATTTAGAAAAAAGAAATGATACTTTAGCCACCACACAGGCCTACTGCATGGACGTCAGTAGATGCGTGAGAATACGACACCAGGGCAGGGCCAGAGGTGTTCGACATACGTTGCCAGTCATGCTCCTCCGTTCTAGTAGCGGCCGCGGGGTGGGTAATCAGCCGGCGGGGCATCGTAAGGTGGACGTCCTCCCGGGCTGCGGGGACGAGCACCGCGCGGGGAGGGTGGTCGTCCTCCGTCGTAAGGGCGCCCGTGGCCGTTCATATAAGGGTCGTCGTAGCGACGAGGTGGAGGTCCGGCCCTAGCATCATAAGGATCGTCAGGGTAACGCGCGCGCGGTGGGCCATACTCATCAGGCATGCGACCACGAGGCGGCGAACGTCCATAACCGACGTCACGCCTGTCATAGAACTCGCGGGGCGGTGTGCGCCGGCGGTAGTCGTCGCGTCGAGGGCTGTAGCCACGAGGGGGACCGCGACGGTCATAGTAGTCGTCGTACGGTGCAGGTGGGTAGCCGCGGCGTCCCATAGGGGAGCGCGATCGATATCTGTCTCGGCCCCGGTCATCGGGACCACCAGGGCCTCCGTAAGGAGCCCTAGGCTTGAAAGGTGGAGGTGGGGGAGGATCAGAGACGTCTTGGATGCAGGTAACCTCCTGCCCCTTAAACTCACGGCGGTCCAGTTTCTCCACTGCAGTCTTCAGATCGGCGGCCGTCTCATACTCGACGAATCTTAATAGTGTCAGCATACTGCCAAGAGGCCTTTACTGTAGCGTACTCACCCAGTGCCATCGCGTTCACGGCCAACCTCAGAGTAGACGACGTCCAATCCAGATTGACGGGCAAAATCTTTCAGGTCCTATATATTCGAAGTTAAGCGAGGTCCAAATCCAGAATGTATAACGGGAAGCACGCGAGAATAAAGCCATTACTGGTCCGGGAACGGTACGCTGACCCTAACAGGAAACGGGGGAAATCCAATGATCGGGGAGTCTGACCTGCCAGCTGGTCTCCACCGGAAGATTTGCGATTCTCATCCGGTATGGCGTACGTCTAGGACGTGGTGGGACGCGCTCGTGGGGAGTAAAGTTCTCGTTGCGGGCGCGCGAGCCGCGAGCGAATTGGACAATGAGGCGCTCGCCCATGAAATCGGAACCATCTTATAAAAGGTTAGGAGGACGTTTTTGGAGGAATCGAACGCGACAAACTACATACGGAAAGCTACACAGGAATTAGCGCTTCTTCGGTCCATTGGGCGATGGACAAAGCTTACCAGGAACGACGTCACGAGCGTCCATGGCATCCTTGTACTCGATGAAACCGAAACCGTTCATCAACTTGATCTCGGTAATCTCACCGGTGCCATGCGTTTGGAAGTGGCCTTCGACGTCGGCCTTGGTGGCATTACGGGGAAGGTTGCCTAGGTATAGGCGCGTAGACGATACCTCAGTCATGGCGATGGGGGGTTATGGTGGAACTCTGGCCTAAGGATAACCTAGTCTGGATAAAATGGTGAGCACATGTCCATGAGTAAGCGGAGAGCCAGCGAAGGAGTGCGCATCGTGCCTGCTAGACATGGGAGACTCCGTTTCAGAGACGCGACACCAGGAAACCAGCGTCCAGCTATGCGCGCAACTACAAGGACCGGGATATACGCGCGAGGAATGGCCAGAGAATGCAATGCAGGTAGCTAGTCGTACCTTGGAGATTGATGGAGGTGGCGAAGGGTGGATGCAGGGCAGTGGTAGAAGGACCTAAGTGGTGAAGGGCCTGGAGAGAGCCGGCTGAGCGCAGATGTCGCGCACTCGGGTCTGAGGAGAGAAATTAGTATGTCCAGTATCGCGGCAGCGGGGTGCAAGCAGAGATGATGGCCGAGCTGCTGTTGATGTGACAGGCCCCGGCGTGGTTGTTGGGTGGAGAGTGACGAAGGGCGCGGAGACGAACTTCGCCCAACGCTGCCTTACTTGGCTAAGCTAGAGCACGGACATCACGTGCATCCCGCGCTCTCTGAGGCCCATGGATGCCCTGCCGAGGCTACCACTTGGACGTGACCTCACGCAAATGCATGTGCTATTATACGCTGAAAGGCCATGCGGAACACGTATTCCGACCACATTTTCACCAATACCAAATGCTTGGTAATCAAGTTATATCATTCATGTGCCTCTGTTACAGTCGGCAATCCTCGCTTGGGCAGCAACAATAATTGGGCTGGCCACTTATACATACACATGTGGTCTCTCTTCATATACATGTCGGGTGATGTCTTACTTTGCGCATCGAGCTGCCTAAGTTGAATAGGTATGGAGCTCACCAGATAACTGGGGTTACGTCAGGACGTACTTTGGTCCTTCGCCGCCCTGGGGTGTTTGCCAATTGATATCCTGATCCGGTACCTTGATATCGCAAGTCTTGCAGTGAACGCAGCTAACACCAGTTAATCAGAATGTACTCAATCTGGGCTAGCTCTTTTGGATACTTACTTTTGAGCGTTGATTTGGAACCGGACGCCCAACTCTTTGCTGGCATCCTCGACATACTCATACACACCTGCGGGACAGAAGCGGTTCTCGACACCCTTATATCTGGGCCACTCCCTCTTGGCATGCTCATCAATATCCTTTACCTGGAGATGGCAGGGCTGATCCTCCTCATGATTTGTGCCGCTACGGCTGACACTGGTCAATATGTCGAAGCTGATCTTGCCGTCCGGCTTGGGATATTCAATCTTCTGGTACTCATCTGCAGGCTTTGTCGCTGCATGGTCAGGCTTCCCATGTTTCAGTGTCCAAGGCGCTTTGCCTCGGAGGACGTATGCCTCCAACCCTGAGTACACTATGCCTCCGTACACACCAAGAGGGGTATGGAAAGACGGCCGCATGTTTCGCACAGTCTTCAACTCTGACCAGATTGGTGACTTGCGCATCTTGTCTTCATAGTCGTACAGGAATACAGTCCCGCCGTCTGTGTTGGCTTGGAGAGCGTCCCACGTCGCCTCGGCGGCCAGCATACCTGATCTCATCGCATTGTGTGTGCCTTTGATTTTTGGTAGGTTAACCAAGCCCGCTGAATCTCCAAGGAGGGCACCGCCAGGGAAAGCAAGCTTGGGGATGGACTGGAAGCCGCCCTCGACCAGAGTCCTTGCGCCGTAGGAGATGCACTTGCCACCCTCCAACACATCCTTGTATAACGGGTGGTGTTTCATCTTTTGGAACTCACCATAAGGCGCCAGCCACGGATTGGGGTAGTCAAGCCCAACCACTAGGCCAATACTGACCAAGTTGTCGCCAAAATGGTACATCCAACCTCCTCCATAGGTATCCTTGGGAAGCGGGTAACCCAGAGAATGCACAACAAGACCAGACTTGAATTTCTCAGGCTGCACTTCCCAGACCTCTTTGATTCCAAGGCCATAGGTTTGATGCTGGCTGTCCCGCCTCAGGTCGTACTTTTTGATAACCTGCTTTGACAAGCTACCGTGACAGCCTTCACCAAGCAATGTGACACGGGCATGAAATTCCATTCCTCGTTCAAAGGAATCCTTGGGTTTCCCCTCTCGTGATATACCGAGATCGTTGGTGGCTACGCCACGTACAACGCCTTCGTGGTTGTAGAGCACTTCGGACGCAGCAAACCCAGGGTAGACTTCTACGCCGACCTCTTCTGCTCGTTCGCCGAGCCACTTAACCATTTGGTTCAAGCTTATGATGAAGTTGCCATGGTTGTTCATCTGCGGGGGCTTGGGGAGGGGTATGGCACGGTCCCTGGTCATGAAATACATGTGATCCTCCTTCGCAGGCGTAATGTCAGCGAAGCGGTTCAAGTTGTCTTCCGATCTCCAGTCCGGTAGCAATTCGTCAAGAGCGGATGGCTCGATGACATTGCCTGAGACGATATGATCACCTAGCTCTCCAGCCTTTTCCAAGACCAAAACTCTGAAGTCCTCATTGCCTGCTGCTGTCGCAAGCTGCTTCAGCTTTATAGCCGCCGACAGACCGGCCGGACCTCCACCCACAATGAGCACATCAACCTCATCAGATTCGCGCTCTATCGACTTGGGGTCGAATGTGTCGTCTACCGCAGCCAATCGTGTGCGTGGCGTTGTGCAAAACGGTCTTTTCTGGCCGGCAATTCGGAGTGCCGGGCGGTAGGATCCTGATACACTTCGTATACGCGGTGACGCGCATGCAATTGGTCGTGTTGCGATGCGTGTGGATTGCGACGTCGTGAGCAGCCGTCGTGTTATGGACGCGGGGATGGACCGTGTAGCCATTGCAGCGTGTTGGACAGGCATTTTACGCCAATGGACGTGGAGAAGTCAGGTGAGAAGAGGGACGAAATATCAAAAGCTTGTGTATGTATACGCGTGACTGGCTACACTCCACTGGCCAGCACTCAACCGTCCAGGTGGCGACGAGACGGAGTCATCGAAAACTGCGCCGTCGCTGACCAGACGTTGAAAATGACGATATCCAAAAGTTGCAGCCGAGGCTAGAGGCTAGGTACCGGATTGTAACGGGGCGCACGCCATTGGTCAGCGCTCCCGGCGCACCGTCACCCGTCACCCGTCACCCGTCATTCGTCATTCGCCATCTTGTAACTCTTTCGCTCCACTCTCTACATTCAGCACCTGTCAAAACATGTACAACCGATCCAGCTATCAGCAAGGTGGCGGTTGATTTGCAGCGTACCTCTAACCATGTAACCGACCCGTTCAGAAACGAGGCGTTGGTCCCCCGGCTCCTGTATGGCTCATGGCGTGTCAACGCCAAATGCTGAGACGCTCTGTCGCGTCGGTGAACTACCATGGGCCCACGCGGTACATGGAACCCGCAAAACTGATCAGCTACAGGGCAAAAATCCTGCTGCCATCGTGCTGCTAGAGAGACTGTGAGCGTACTGTTGCAGTTGTTTGACATATCACCTACTGTGTATATGCATCGTATGCCCCTGACTAGACAAGGCGAAACCCATTAGTCTCTTGTACCCCTTCACCACTGTAGCGCGAAAGGACGGCAATGGACTGAACATTAATAGATCAAATCAGAAGGCGCATGGCCAGTATCCAGATCATTCCCCTTCAATACCATCTCTTTCAAAAAACATTTCCTGTCAAGACCTTTGAGGCTTCTTGGTACGTACTGACAGCGGTCACATCTCGGTGGGCCTGAAACCAGCTGAGATTCAGGCCCACGTACGGCGGCAAACCTCAGTCATACATCAAACCCCAAACTTATGCGTTTAGCATAATATTTTCTCCGCATACACCCCCCCGGCCTTGTCTGCAACAAGCTCTCAAACTGTACGCGTTCGATTTCTAGGCCCCATCTCTGCATGACGACCGCCTCCCCGGCGTCAGGCGTCCTTCTCGCTTCTCATCCGCAATTACATTTTCTTATTCATGCGTTTTCATTCGACCGTTTACAGCCAAGATGCGGCCCCGATCCCATAGCAGACGTGATCTAGGCTTGTCACGGGAAGCTAAGCTCTTGTTCCTGTGAGAGAAATATGGGCCTGATCGACCAGACCTCTTTGAGGCCTGGCTCTCTCCAGGCATCCTCCAACGGACCATGTGTGATGTGCTTGGAGGACCATGAACACCCATCTCAGCAAACGCGGCTTGTTCTATATTCAGCACTTCTCTATTCAAGGAGGCCGACATGGTGCATAAAGCCAAGTTTGTATATAATCTGATCCCCTTAGAAGCTTACAGCATCACGCTCACCTTCCATCTTTCAGATCATTCTTTGGTGCTGAGCACTTGATTTTTATTTCACTTCAATTCTCAAGAGCTGTGCTCAAGTTACATTTCGACACATCTCGTTTCAATCCTTCAACTTTAACCGAATACCGTCATTATGAAGACCTCTGTTCCCCTTCTCACAATTCTTTCCGCCTCCTTTGTGGCAGCGGTCCCAGCACCTTTCGCAGGCAATGGACAAGCAATCGCTGCTCGCACCCAGGACACGGCCATTGCCAACCTGCACTTGGGCCGTCGCGAAGCAGAGGTTGTGCACAAGTTTGGCGAAAAGGCCCTGAAGCTCCGCGGTGTGCTCTTGGCAGCACGTGGTAGTATGGCTAAGGATAATGCTAATGCAGAAGATGCTGCTGCTGCAGATGGTAACGCTAAAGACCAGGCAGCCCAGGATGCTGCTGATGCTGCTGCTGCTGCTGCGGAAGAGGAACAAGCCCAGGGAAATGGCAAGGAAAATGGCAAGAATAACGCCAAAGATCAAGCCGCCCAGGAAGACGCTGCAGGTAAGAAGATCTCTATTCTTACTTGAAAACATCTCGCTAACTCAGCAAAGCCCAAGATAAACAAGTAGCAGAGGATGCTCAGGCACAGCAAGATGCCGCTGCTGCCGAGCAGAAGGCAGCAGAGGAGCAAGCTGCAGCCGATCACAAAGCTGTAGCAGAGCAAAAGGCTGCAGAGGAGCAGGCAGCGGCTGATCACAAGGCAGCGGCCGACCAAAAGGCTGCAGCCGAGCAAGCTGCTGCTGACCAAAAGGCAGCTGCTGATCATGCCGTAGCAGCGCAACCAAACAATGCCACTATGGGAGCCGATCATCAAGCTGCTGCTGACCAAGCTGCTGCTGACCAGAAAGCTGCTGCTGAACAGGCTGCTGCCGACCAAGCTGCTGCCGACCACAAGGCTGCCGCCGACCAAGCTGCTGCCGACCAAGCTGCTGCTGATCACAAGGCTGCTGCTGACCAGCAGGCTGCCGCCGATCAAGCTGCCGCCGACCAGGGAGCCGCTCAAAAGGAGAAGCAGAATGGTGCTGCTGCCGACCAAGCCGCCGCCGACCAAGCTGCTGCCGACCAAGCTGCTGCTGAACAGCAGAACAGCTGCAACATCGCGCCTGACCAGGCTGCCCAAGATGCTGCTAACCAGCAAGCGGAGTTGGCCAAGGGCATGCAAGACGCTGCTGCCGGTGGAGCTGCTCAAGCAGGAAGTAAGTATCGTCCCCCCTATCAACGATTCTAGACACTAACAGTCCTAGATGCTACAGCTGGCGTTGGCGGTAACAACGGCAAGGGAAAAGGCAAGGGTAAGGGTCATGGTAAGGGCCAAGGCAAGGGAAATGGCAAGAACAATGGCAAGGGCAATGGTACGTATTAGATTCCAGAAGAGTCCAAAATGGTGCTAATTGAGATGCAGGTGCCAACGCTGACGCTGGAGCTGGAGCCGGTGTAGGAGCCGGTGCTGCTGCTGATGCACAAGCTGGAGCTGGAGCCGATGCTGCTATGGGTGCCGACGCTCAAGCTGGAAAGGGCAAGGGTAAAGGAAAGGGAGCTGCCGCTGACCAAGCTGCTGCCGATCAAGCTGCTGCCGACCAAGCTGCTGCTGACGCTGGAGCTGCTGCCGACGCTCAAGCTGGAAAGGGCAAGGGTAAAGGAAAGGGAGCTGCCGCCAACCAAGCTGCCGCCGACCAAGCTGCTGCTGATCAAGCTGCTGCCGACGCTGGAGCTGGAGCTGCCGCCGACGCTGAGGCTGCTGCTGGAGCCCAACAGCACAAGGCTTCAGGCATGAGGCGCAACGCGAGGAGGACCATTGCCTTCCGTGCCTAAATCTTGGGCCAGCTGGAAGGTGTAGGTTTAGATGGTGAGAATTCTGGGATGAGATGCTCTGCGGCGCAGAAGTCTTCTGTTGTTATGTAGTATGCACGACCGAGTGCTATATCGTTTTTGTAATAGAGTTATGATCGTGGAAGGAATAGCACCATGCGAGTCGAACTGTTGCTCCATATGATTGCTTTATTTCACGCTTTTGTGTTGATGTCCCGGTGAATACAATAATCCGGCTCTTCCTTTCGCGAATATCTTGCTATTAGCGCAACTACATAATGCATGTTCTTTTGTATAACCTATACCTGCCTGCGCCATAACTTGGCTCCTGTGCTGTATCGGAGTTTGCCTACACACATTTCCAATGTATTCATACCCTCAGTACATCAGATGCGTCGCATCAACTCGCGATGTTGTTCACAATGATCGAATATAGCACGTTGTGGTCGGGGTATCGCAGCCGCATCTACGTCGCTCGCATGACTGGTAATCGGCGGTAGTGATGGAATCGCACGCTGAGGAAGGCGGTTGAGAAACAGCATGTTTTGATCTACTTTCTTTCATCAGTATTTACGTGCTAGCTTAATAGACATATTGACAGATTGCGGGGAGTAAGTAACGTACTGGAGCTGGTCGAACTGATGAGACAGAAGCGGGAGCGGCGGGGCCATGAGTTACGCCAGGATCTCACGCTAGGCCAAATGAGGGGAAGCGCTATCCCCATTATAGCTACAGCTATTGCAGCTATACCAATGATGGCCTCGACAGATAGGCTACTGTGTGATTCAACGGGCGAACTCTCGAGTAGGCATTGTTGTCGTCGCTGAAAAATTGGGGGGATAGGGCTAGCGCATGCGCTGATAGAGCAGCATGCAAAGGTAGCAAAGAGAATCTGGAATAGCATGTTTTGTTTGAAAGCAGTATATAGACTGTTGCTTTCTAATGGCCTAAGATAGATCAAACATATATGCTAGGTGGGAACGGAATGCAATAGCGATGGAGTATTGTGGCAATGCTTCCTTTCTCAGAAATGCGCGGCTGATGTAGTTATGATGATAGAAGCGAAGAGACCAATAAATGATGTGTTCAAGTAGGCTGTATGTTTTGGCAACAGCAGTTATGTATAAAGAGTTCTGAGGCACAAGTGTTGAGACGAAGCCGCCTGGAAGAGAGTGTTGAGGGCGGTAGCGCAGGGTGGTGATTGATTTGACCCAGGACCTCCGCTGTGTTTGCTTAGCGTGAAAAGCTGCCCCTAAACCTCCTCGCGCGCACTGGTGGACTGCCACGGGTACTCACCACCTGCAGCTAAGTAGCAACAGGTTATTACCATTATCCGCGTGCTGTCCTCCCACAGTTATGTACGAACCCAAACGCCAAGGTCATACGCGAATCACTTAAATCATTCCCCATTAATCAATCCTGCTGAGCAGAGTAGGGCCTTCACTACTGATTAATCATCTTCACAATAGTAGCAATAAGTGACCATATCAGACAGCGAAAGAGTGGAATAACTATACGCATTCTCCAACTGGGATACTTAGTCCTGAATACCCAGACCTCTGCACTGTCCCGACATTCTCGTGCTCTACAAATTGGGTGCGCTCATTCGTTGATTTGCGATCGCCTTTTTTCCCCACATAGCGTTACTTATGTCCAACTGCTTTTCTGTCCGGCAGAAAATCGAACGGTCAGTCGCAGCTCGTCCTGGAAGCGCTCACTCGTCCTAGAAGCGGTTAGGCGACCTGACTAAAGTTGTGCGCGGATCGGAAAGCTAGAGAAAATCTGAACAAATCTTGACCTGTGCACAATTAGTATCGCCGCTAGTGATATACCATGTTTCATGTGTAGACTCAGCCACAGTGTAAGGGTCGACTGATGGCTGTCTGGGCTTACACGGGTGAGGATGTGCTGGAGCTCGCGCAGAAAGAGACGAGGTGCGCTAGTACACCTCAGCTTATTTTGGTTGGAGGGGGACCCTTAAGTCGTAGAGACGTATTAGGAAATACGGGTCCCCACGCAAACTTGCGTGATAACTTGCGGAGGGCAGCGTGCAGCGGGTAGAGTGTGTAGCTGGAGCGGCGGCCTTTTCAGTGTCGTGAGGCTACGCCCGTGGATAAGCACGTGATTTAATCACGTGACCTTTTCTATACAGAAGGCCTATTAGCAAAAGTATGAGTAACAAGCGTTGCACAATAGTTCCATTTCTTTATCTCCCTTATTGTATATGTTGGGTCAATGCAAACTCTTGTAAAGGCCTCTTCGCCTATGATGATAACGGCTGATCTTGCTCAATCCAATAGGCTTACCGTATGTGGGTCAGATCTACACATAAGATGCGTCATCCGAACAGGGGACAAACATCGTTAGTACTATACTTACACCGTGTTACGAATCTCTTGCACTCAGGACTCAGCATCAACCTCTATCGTCCCAACTTGTGGTCCAATATATCACAGTACTGAAGTGTCAAATTGTTCCGACAGAACCCGGAGAGCCGAGACCCCTCCTGCGGACTGGGAAGGGAACAGGTGGTGCGACAATATACCGCACCCATCGCTCGAAGTTTTCTATGCAACACACCGCAGCCCTATAATAGCAATTTGTTCGTAGTCATCGACTGCAACTGCCCCCCTTCGTGTATCGGCCGGCTCTTTCTACACCAAGCTACCATGGGAAGGATTGGCCGACGTGCGGATCTTGACAATTGGGCCTTGCAGCAACTTCATTCTGTTACCCTGGAACATCACAAAGATACTTTTACCATTTAACGGCGACGTTCACCAAACTTGTTTTGCTTACTTCAACACTCATAAAAAAGGTGTCCTTCATTTCACTTTCACCTCGAAACACTAGTCCGAGCCCCCACAATCGCGCTTTTGTGTGCTGCGTACAGAGCAAGTAAAGCCCACAACCACACCCAGGTCAACGAAATCACGTGCTGCGTCGTCAGAACAGCAAAAATACTTAGATATCAAGACCCAAACTATGTCTGGTCATCGCATACTATCAGAGGTGTTGCGCAAAGAACCTCGAATCGACTCAGGCACTGCGCTCTCTGATCCAGTTGTCACATCCAGTGGCCAGTTCTCAGCCAAGTAAGCATTTTTCTGAGCATACAAGTTTACAAAACTTACACACAAGCAGAAAAGTTCATATGCCTGAGCTTCGTAATACCAAATACGATTTTGGTGTCGCCAAGGCCCAATACGGCGAAAATGAGCTTAAGCTCCGGCAACCAGAAGGCTTTCCAATCATACCTCTTCCTATCACGATAGCACGTGCTTACGAGGAGGCTGCAATGGCAGCTGCAGCGAGGGATCACTCTGAACTCGTATTCGACATTTACGAAGACGTAAACGATGGTACACGCAAAACGACAGCCGAAGAGGATCATGAAATGGTTGACGCCTACACCAGTGGAACTGTTGGTGAAGAAGAGGAACAGGGCAACAACAGCGATGAAGCCAGACAAGTGGGCGACGAGAACCATCATGGAGTTCCTCCCAATTCTACAAACGCGACCAAGATCGATCCAAGGCTCGATGTACATGTAGACAGCCTAGGACGAACACGCGCAGCAGCACATCGTCGTAAGGCTCTTGAGACCATACAGCTTGGAGATCATGCCGGGGACTTGACAGGAGACGTGATTATTATAGGCAGCAACAAGAAGCGTACAAGTAGCCGTATCCAGAAGCCTACACAGCCTAGGAGGCAGTCGGTTAGGAGGTCACGCTAGGGAGCTTGGAAGTGCTTTTTTTGAGATTGTTTGGTTCGTGAAATGTAGCTCAGGGGAATGGATCTGGGCCTAGCGGCTTATGTCGTGTACACCTGTATTGGTTATCGGGCCGTGGCGGATAACTTCGCTCCCACGATGATTGCCAATTTCAGCATGGTAATAGACAGAAGAGTACCTGGGTAGCCCATGTTAGAATAGTAATGATAAGCCATTGGCACAAAGTGCTCAGGTCACATATCGCAACCCGCTATATCGCTCGGTGTAAATGGACCCTGGCTCAAGCTGACGCCACTAACCGTATCAGGATTATGTACACTTGTAACCACGTGTGAGCGCGTATTAAAGCTAACATCTCCTGCCCCGCCTTCCCAGCTATCTCCAACATATCCAGACAACGGTATCAACTTAACTTTGCTTTTCCCAACCCCTCAATTCCCAACACTTCCGGCCCCGAAACTGCGACGTCAATCAACTTCTTCGCTCAAAGAGCCTCCACGTGTAAAGAAGATGGCCTCTGGCACTCAGATGGAGCTGATACGAGCCTGGTCTAGGGATATCGGCCACGTTGTTGATGCTGCCAACTCACCAAAAGCCGAATTTGCGCGTCTGGCCAAAGCAAAGGGGTGGGAGGGCGGCAATGAGACATGGCGTTCGCGCTGGAGAGAGTGTTTCAAAGAAGAGTATCCATATGGCCAGTGTCGTAAGTCTTCTCGTTTCACCATATATTTGAAGCGTTCAATGCGATAATATCGGGTACCATATATGAAGTGTATTGCTTACTTATGACACAGGTCGGTTAGCACGTGGAGATAAGGCTGCAGCCTTGCAAGACGGCGGAATTCATCTCGAAGATAGGATGCGCAGACTCTCAATCGTATCCGACACCTCATCATTTTCGGTCATTTCCAGGGCAGATTCCTTTGATAGCGTAAGGTCGTTCGACAGCCAGGAGTCTTTTGAAGACCTAGGTGCGGTTGTTGATGTTCCTGTTTCACTCAACCCGGCATCGGTCTCCGAAACAAACGAATACAAGGAACCGATCGAATCAGAAAGAAAGCCCTCACTGAGCAGTTCCGAATGCAAAGCAGACAGCAATCCCGCCTGGGCGGAATTTACCAACTTCGTGCACTCGCCAACTGCGCATTTCAAATCTGAGTTCGAACGTCTCGCTCACATCAAAAACTGGACCGGAAATGTGAAGAGGCAACAGTTCGTTTCTTTGCTTAGCTCAGAAGTTGCTTTTTACTGGGGTACTGATGGAGATAAGCTTGAGCAGTACCAAGAAATGTGTCGCGACCTTGGTCTTACTCAGATTCCGGGCACAGTTACACAGTGCAAGAAGGTTCGTTTCTGAATTCCACCTAGGCACAAAAAAGCAGAGTGCTAATCGTAAATAGATCCTTGATCCTTTGAAGATCAATCTCTTTACAGTCATTGATAACAAGCGAAATCCAAAGATCAAGATCGTTCAGTACGAGTCTCTCAGCAAGCTACGGAAGAGCATCCGCAAGAGTGGGTGTTTCCCGAGGAATGCTGCGAAAGCGGGTGGCGGATGCTTCAGATCGCTGCTTTGCAGGCTGTAGCCATCACGATCATTGAGGGCCATGTTGTCGGAGTTTGGAGCATGTGGTTTGACATTTGGGCATCGAATATACATGATGGGAAGACCGAAATTGCATCTCTCTTACCTATGTGTTGGATTTGTTCTGAGAATAAACAAGAATCATATTTTAATTCAATAACATCTACTACTTTCAATCGCTGCGGCTGGAGACTGGCTATAATGCCGCATCCGCTGAATGTTGCGTCGTGCTTCCACTGCTCTTTCGACGGTATTGGCCAAGATGAAAAGGGCTGTCGCCAGTTTGCTAATGCAAATTTCCATGTCGATAAGGAGATTCAAATTGATAAAGAAGTAGGTAGCCTAGCTCGATGGCAAGGTTCTTGTTGCCGTTGTGGTGCCGAGCATTACTTCACACCATCACAAGATGCATGAAGGCATTCTCTCAATGTGGTGAAAGACGACACACTTCCTTCTCCTTCCTTGAATTCAGTGTTTTATTCGCATGAAAAACGTATCCAGAATTGGACTAAGCGCTAGCCGATATGTTTTAGGGTTGTGGCTGTCCCATGCAGTGGCGTACACTACTACGGGACGGCACGTCCTGCTCGGTGTCGTGCCATAGCTTACGAACCAATCCTTTCAAACAATTGGCAATGACCACTGGCACACCAACACATGTCCAAGGCAGCAATTGGCCAAATTCAATCCCACCCAATATTTTGCACTGCCCCAAATCTGCCTCGTATGCATGTGTGTGGCACAGTGATACCACCGCGCGTCATTCGCTCAATGCGCCCAGCACTTATTAGACAGTGATGCCTCAGGATTGTTAACCTTTCGCCCTCTAACAGCTCACAAATAGCATTAGGCTACAGCGATACAAGGGGTGCTTTCTTTATGGTGGTTTGTTGCCGCTGCGGCGTCATGCATGTAGCCTCCACGCCGCACGCGATGGATTTGTTTGTTGCCCCAGGCTGTAAAAGTGACTTGTATATCAACTGCGTGTAGAATCTATGTAATCTTTTATCACCCAGCGACTCTCAAAGCAATACAATCGCTGCGCTCACGAAACTAGTTTACCGGCACTCCACTCCACCATGTCTCCTAAGCGTTCCCGCCAGCTTCGTAAGTACCACCACCCTTACACCCCTCATACCCAGAATCCCGAACTAACCCATCCCAAGCCACCCCTTCCCCCACCCCCTCTCCAAGTCCGCACAAGCCCAACACCGGCGGCACCTGGTTCTTACAATTCGCCCCTTTCACCTACGATACCACCGCGGGCCTAAAATCCAACTTCGAGCGCCTCGCCAACACGCGGAACTGGCATGACAAGCTCCGACAAAAGCGCTGGCACCAATGCCAAGCCGCAGAATTCGATGCTGCCTACGGAAAAGACATATCAAAGTTGGAGGCGTGGCAGGCGCTTTGCCGTGAGGTACTTATTGAGGACGTGCCTGGGAGTATTACGCAGTGCAAAGCGGTACGTACACACAAACCTCAAAAACAAAATTTAGTAGTGATGAATGGGATGTGTTGCTAACCAAGATGCGCAGGTTCTAGGAAGCAGAAATGTACTGGTTAACTTGGTCAATCTGATTGATCATCGCAATATGGGGACGCCGGTGATACGGTTTAAGAGTTATGCGGCGTTTAGGAGTTATACGACTGGTGGGAGGGTTTTTCCAAAGAAAAAGGCGAAGGAGGAGGGGTTTATTAAGGCGCTTTTGAGGACGCTTTAGTGGGGGACCGGGGACAGGTCTTGATGGTTGCGGTGGGAAGTGCGAGTGAAGATAAAGAGGGTTGTTTGATTTGCCTTGTGTGACTGTTTCTTTTTCGTGTTGTAGATGATGGATTTGCCAACTGTTATTTACTACTTGCACACTGTCTGAGAGCGCTGAAGCTGTATGGAGTCGGCGATCTATTTGCTATCGATAGCGAATCTTAAGTTCGACGGATATGCTATCTATACCGCCATCATTCCTGATATACAGCCATTACATATTGTCCAAAGTTAGGAAAGAGGCAGATCTAGACAGTGAGAGAGTTTTACAGTAAGCAGTGGCTGCTGACCTTTGGCAAATTGGTCGGGAATCAGAGGACGAAGTTAAGTGGTTCATTCATTATTAAAGAGCTTTTGCAGATAAGAGTGAGACAACAACGAAGGATTGCAGGATGACGTGACAGGTCATCTGGAATACTCTATCAAATCGCATCTGGTCGCAGCTACTGCGACACTGCAGTTTCCAGATAATCCCAAACACCCGAAAAAATTCCAAATACATGAAGATACTCCACAACTCTTACAGGAAGTTTGTGTGACGAGATACAAAATATGCATTCTCAACGAAACACGATGGTGACGGAGACCACGAAAAAGCAGCCTCTTAAAGCGATCGAGGATGGAATAAACTCCGGCAGTCTGCGGGATTTCAGCAAAACGAGTCATTTAGCCCTACGTTACCAAGACCCGTACTATCCTTATCCGCTCGCAATGATGCCATCGCCCATCCAGAAGCAGTCTGCGGCATATTCAGGGAAGCTCCACACCGCAACGCCCCCAATCTCGTGTAAGACGCAAACCTCCCCCTTCCAAAGCTCGCAAATCTAGACGGCCTGTGTCGCCAGACAAACGCATGTGAAGTAAGAGCTAGCCAACAGCAAGCGTGGAGATCTTTGCTCTTCACAGCCATAGCGCTCTTTGTGTTTCGCTTTACCGAGCCACATACCCCCCAATCCACACTTGATATTCCTATTTGATACCCCGCTTCTTACCTACAGCCAGGGTCGCACTATCGTCGATCGTATATCAAAAGAGGCGATCCCCCAACTATGCGTCACCTTGCGTCCCTGCAGAAGGCACTGCCTGCGCACCCTTAACTACTGGACCCTTAGATCGCCGCGTAGTAAAATAGTAAAAAGAGTGATATTTGCCTCCCCCCCTTCCCATCCCCTAGATAAAAACACATAATGTGTAGCTACACTTTAACCATCTTTCTTTTCTTACTGCTACCCTCATGATCACCACAATGCAGCAAGAAAACGAGTCCCTAAAACTCCTAGACGGACGCAAGCTCTCCTACGCCATCTACGGCAGCCCCGTGCCCCAACGCACAATCATCTACCTGCACGGCTACCCCTCGTCACGCTACGAAGGCAAGCTCTGGCACTCGAGCTGCGCAACACACAACATACGGCTTATTGCGCCCGACCGGCCTGGTACCGGTCTCTCCACCTTCCAGCATAACCGCCGCATACTCGACTTCCCGGCTGACATCCTCGCTCTCACCGAACACCTCAAAATCCACCAGTTCTACGTGCTAGGTGTGGCCGAGGGCGCGCCGTACGCACTCGCGTGTATAAAAGAGATTGCAAAAGAGAGACTGCTCGGCGCGAGTATAGTGGGTGGCTTGTACCCCGTCAAGCTGGGTACATCCGGTATGATTCTACCCTCGCGAATCGTGCTGTGGATGGCGCCGTGGATGACGAGTCTTACCGCCGCGCTGTTTGATAGTAAGATGGGGAAACCGAGTCGGCATGAAGACCCCCGTGTTTTCGAAGATGCGTTGGAGAGAGAGGTGGAGAGTTGGCATCCGGGGGATCAGAAGGCGATTCGGTGTGCGAATGTTTGGCCGATTTTTGTGGCGATGACGAAGGAGTCGTTTCATCAGGGGAGTGAGGGTGTGGGGTGGGAGGCCAAGCTTAATGGGAGTGAGTGGGGGTTTGAGCTGGCGCATGTGCATGTTGGGGAGGGAGAGGTGCCGTTGACGCTATGGCATGGGAAGGATGATAGGAATTCGCCGGTTGGGATGGTGGATAGGGCGAAGAAGCTTTTACCGGGGTGCGTATTGAGGGTGAAGGAGGGGGAGGGTCATTTTGGGATCATTTCTCGCGATGCAGATGAGATCCTGGAGGACCTGGTAAGGAGGGAGGGGAAGGAAGAGAAGGAAGAGTTCATGATGGTAAGTGTTATGCAGGTTTATGAGTAGGTTGTGGCTCTTTTTCACATTCTAGAGTCTATTTCTGTAGCTCTTTATTGATGATGCTCTAGATGTGCGACTGTGGTGATGAGTGGTAGCCATGGAACAGAGTCTTAGAGGGTCTGGCTCTACCATGTGTACCAGTGATACCCAGAGGCGATTGTAATTATGCAAGCGATGCATCATCGTGCCTGCCTTTATTGTACGTGGACATGAGCAATACGTATAGAAGACGGAACATCCAAAGTCATAACCCATACAACCAGTGGTAAGCACGCGAGAAGAACGGATTGCAGGCCCTCAAATAATTAATTTGTCTCGGATACTAATACTAGCTAGTCTTCAAAGACCAGAAAAAGCGAATGCAGAGAATGGTATCATGCAGGAAAATCCTAAACGCCAAATCCTCCCAGGTAATTTGTAAAAGAGAGGAAAAAGAAGAGGTCTAGCCTCATGCAATACTTGCGTGCTCACAGCTTGCCAACATTCCTCGTGATCATTACCACTACACCTGCAATAACCTTGATCACAATCTTAAGCACAAAGACAACAGACTTGAACGCGAACGTCAAGACGGTAATAACAGCTCTCGCTACAAACGGGAGTTTACTATCATCCTGCGAGCTCTTTGCCTTCTTCGCCTTTTTCTCTGCTTTGGTTTCCTTAGTTTTGGTATGCTTGTCCTGCTGTCCATACCACTCTCCAAGCTCGATGTCTTTGTCGAAACTCCCGCTAGTACTCTCGCTGCGCGGCGTTCCAGTTGTGCTTTTCAAGCTTGACGTGAATTTCTTAAGTCCCTTGCTGGAAAACGGGGGTTTGGTCTTTTTCCCACCGATTCCTTGGAAGCCCTCGACAAAAGAGTCTTTGAAAGCTTTCGCAGTGTCTTCTTTTTGGTGAGTCAGCGTGAAACTTGGGGGTGGCGGCTCGAAGCTATCTTGGCTCTTGTTGCGAGCTTTACGGCCGCGGGTTGCTTCTGCAACAGCAACAGCGAGGAGTGTGGATGTTACAACGTCGACAAGGAATGGGTTTCCAAATCGTGTCAGGGCACCAAAGTTGAGGATAAGCGCGTCGTTGGTGAAGTCAAGACGGGCTAGCATGGCGTCGTCTGCTGTAGCGTCGGTGGTTGTGGGGAGCTGGCCCACAGACATTTCAGATGGAGTCATGGAGGTTGGGCGAATCACGCCATCGAACCGTGGTGGAGGCGGTAGCGGTGAGAAAGCATTGGTACGTGGTGTTGTCGGGGAAAGAACGTATGGATTCAGGACGGTGATAGCAGCAGGCTTTCGTGCTATGTTTTGTGCAGTCATGGGCATGTTGTGTCCGTAGAAAGCTGTTATAGGTCGTGTCGACGGCATATTGATGACAGAACAATCACCCTCAATTGATATGGGGAAATTACCAAGCGTTGGGTGGTGAAGCTGGTATGAACCCTCCGATGGTATGTGCTGAGCCCAAGGATTTGCTTGCTGTTGCGGGTGATCCCTCGTCCATGCGAGAGCACAGCATTCACGCTGAGCACTTTCTGCAAGAACACCTTCAGCCAATCTTTGTGCAGCCGGCGATTGGGCACCGGGGTCAGATAATGCAAGGTGAGAAGCAGACGGCGAATTAGCCGCAGCGTCAAGTGCTTGAAGAGCAGCGAGTTTAGGATATATGCTAGTAAGGAGGGTTGTGTCTTCTTGTTGAGCCGGATTGAATGTTCCGTTATCCAGTGAAGGTGGTGCGATTAGATCGAGCTGGGCGATGGGTAGAACTCGCGGCTGAGTAGGATGATGCCTCTGGATTAGGACCTCATTCATGATACTCGGTATTTCGTGGTTGCCAGCAAGGTTCGATTGTGCCATGGAATAGAATGGGAGAGAAGGAGTTGTCCCAAAAGTAATAGTAGGATTCGCTGCCGTTGCTCGGTGCATTCTCAATGTGTAGATTTGCACGCTTGGCTCTTCTTGACCATTGGTTGCTAACCACATGTTGTCCAGCAGATTCGAAGGAGTGAAGAAAGGCTTTGGTGGTGGAGGAGGTATCGAACTGCTTGTGTGGACATTGCTGTGTGGAACATACGATTCTGACGAGTATGGCAACCGGCTGATTTGCGTCCGTGGGATCTGGGTCGTCGGTGATGCTTGCGTGGGCTGGTACGGTTGCCGTGAAAGAGGAACAGTAGGATCGTAGACTGGGAACATTGATCGCATGGGTATCTCTTCTTGAGGTGATGCGCATCGTACTCTTGTAGCAGAGCTATTCTCTCGTACTAGAGTCTGGGCTTCCGAGAACGCAGGAGAGACTGCACGGTTTAGATCTGGGCTGTTTGTGTATTGGAGGTCGTCAATGTAGTTGTTCTGTGGGGGCGATACTGGTGAAACAATGCGGGCATCTTGTTGGCGATAAAAACTTTCTTGTCGGTCCATCTGTAACGAAGGGGCTCTTCGTTGTGAAGGCGAATCGAAATATGTTCTGCTAACTGGAGCAGGTACTCTTGGGGCTTGAGAGTTTGGCAAATGTGCCTGGGGTGGAGCTGGGATTGATAGCGGGGGTGCCATTGGGACGGACGGAGAGGCTGGCGGTGGATTGACCTGAATGACGAGTTCGTGGAAGTCGCTTGGAGGCTGCGTTGCCTTTGCATTCTCTGTTGATGGAGTTTCTGAGACAGAGCTTTTTACAACAGGCGACGGCTTATTGTTTGGGCTCGGTTGTCTTGGAGCACGGGGTGGAGGGAAGAGTTGAAATGCGGGTCCTGCCATGATGAATGTCCAGCACTCTAC